TCCCATCTTTCTGGCAGTAATTGAATCCCCCGTCGAAAAAACGATTCATCTTTTGACGCAATCCATGAATCGACCCATTTTTCGGTTTCTTCGAAAGAATGGAAGCGCTGCTCGCTCAAACCATGCGCCATCGACCGAAACAAGTGGTAATCCGAGGGGGCTATGTCCGGTGAATACGGCGGGTGAGGTAGAACTTCCCATTGAAGCATTTCCAGGTAAGTTTTGACTGGTTTTGCCACATGTGGCCGAGCATTGTCATGTAACAAAATGACTTTGTCGTGTCTCTGCCCGTATAGTGGCCGCTTTTCTTTTAGAGCTCGACTCAAACGCATCATCTGAAGTCGATAGCGAGCTCCCGTGATAGTTTCATTAGGTTTAAGCAGCTCATAATAAATTACGCCCTGCTGATCCCACCAAATGCAGAGCAGAAGTTTCGAACCATGGATATTCGGCTTTGCCGACGATGTTGATGCATGGCCGGGCTTACCCCACGATTTTCTACGCTTAGGATTATCGTAGTGTATCCACTTTTCATTTCCAGTGATGATACGGTGCAGAAAACCTTTTCTTTTATGCCGTTGAAGCAGCAATTCACACATGAGAAAACGTCGTTCAACGTCTCTCGGCTTCAACTCATACGGCACCCAATGTCCTTGCTTTTGGATCATTCCTAACGCTTTTAAACGTTTTGAAACTGTTGACGCATCTACTTGCAATGTTTTCCCGAGCTCTACTAGCGTCTGACATGGATCTAGATCAAGCAATGCCTCCAATTCTTCGTCTTCAAACTTTGTCGGTGCTCCAGAACGTTCTTTATCTTCAAGGTCAAAGTCATTATTTTTAAAGCGCCTAAACCAGTCTCTGCATGTCGTATTCGACAGAGCATTGTCACCATATGTTTCAACAAGAATTCTGTGTGCTTCAGCTGCAGATTTCTTTTGAATAAAGCAGTGCAATAAAATTCCCCGCAAAAACACTTTATTTGGCACAAAAGTAGACATTTTCGCAATAGGTAATTAAACACGCGTGGTTGACACTGTGGTAAACTGTATCTACTAGAATTTGAGGTTACATATAGTACTACTTAGCTGATGCGTTTCCGTAAGAAATTCCATGCACAGAGTGCCGCTACGCCATCTTTTAAGAAACAGCGAGAACTTATTCAAGGACCTAATATTAAAATAAATGATGTGAAAGGCTCAAGTGATTAACAAAATCAAATAAAAATTAAAAGGAGCGTAAATAGCCACAATGCAAGTTCTTCGTGCAAAAGTTACTGTATTCTCATTTAAAAGTAATTACAAACGTTTCTGCCTGACATCAGGCCTTCCTCAGTGTACAATATTAACAAAAGAATCACACGCAGTAATTATAAAACTAAAAAGATGTGGATGGTATTTTTCAAATCTATTTCGCAGATATATTGTTCGGATTATTAAAATAAAATGTTAATATTGTGATAAAGACATGTTACAAGCAAACATCTATCCAGAAGGAACGAGATGGAATGAATTGAAACTTATCAGTCAAAAGTTAAAATGTTAATGATAAAAATATTATTAATTTCTTTAATTTCTCAATCAATTTTCTCCAAAAAACGAAGCCTCTCGTGTAACAAAATTTTCTTCGGTACTTCGAGTTATTATTTTATCTCATATAAAATTATTGTATTATCAGTAACGGACCATTATTACCAGTAACCATTTCATTACCAGGACCATTTCATATATTGTAACCATCAGGTAATCACAATAATAAAACGCGTTCATATACCTGCTGTGCGACAGACGTTGATGAGATTGACAGATATGTCATGGACGGTGACGGATGCTCGATATCTGTGATTGACACACAATCGCACGTATTGTTGTAATAATGTCATTTATTCTCAGCAATGAAGCCGCGGCTCAGTAAGTGTGTTATTTAATAAAAAAAAGATTTTGCAAATATATTTATATATTAATCATTCTTATAAAAGCTAAAATGAAAACGCTGAGAATCTTGTCGAAAGAATTTTATGCGTCACTTGATAACATTATCGTGTTTAACTTCATTAAGAGTTTGAAAACTTTACTAATTTCACTTTAAAACAATGGATTATAGTCTTTTCAAGTGGACTTGTGAAATTGATCTTTCTGAGTTAAGATCGCGCGATAACTGCCGCCGACTTGTTTGTTCGCAAGAAATGAAATACGTTCAAAATTTGGCACGCTTCCACGATAGCTTTTAAGCAGGCATTTTCATCATATAGCGATTCTGCGAAACTGCTAGTGCAGTATTATATTCTACATTATTGATTATCAATACATATATACAGTATATTTGGGTCAAGTATTAACATTTAATTATGTTTTTCGCAAGAGATATCGAAAAATTTGTTTTCCTTTTTTTTTATTAGTTATGTGGAAACATATTACTGTTGTTAAAAGTTTAACATGTTTAAAAGTTGGAAATCTTTTCAATATTTCATTTTCTATATTTTTAGATTGCAAATTTTTTATTTTTACTGCGAAATGCGCGGAAATATCGTCGTGATGCAGAATCCACGACGACACGACTTAATTGGCACATTACAGATTAAAAGTAATCCATCATCGTTTTCTCATTTCTGAGAAATACTCGAGATCGAGACTCTTGATTAATTTTTCAGCCATTGATCTTTCCATTTCTGATTGCAGCACCGACGAAAGCGAAAAATCAAGTTCTTTCGGATGAAGATAGCACACTTCTCGACGATAATGATGGCGATGTTTCGACGGAGGAGCCGTTTCTCAAAAAGTGCATCGTAGATGGAAATGCTTATTCTCACAGCCAAACGGTAAGGATCAATAAAATATATTAGCAATCCCAAGAAGGAAGATTCGTTTCTAGAATTTTTGCTACAGCATATAATCAAAGGACAAAACAAAGAAACCATTATTTTTAAATCTTAATTATTGATCAGAAATATTAATTGTGTAATTAATTAATTATTTAATAAAAAATATATATATAATAAAAAATAAGGATTTATTAAAAATATGACGTTTTCGTAAAATTTAAATGCACGATTATAAATATAGCATTAAATGCTTTTACTTAAAGAAAACTTTTTTATGTACCTTATGCTTTAATTATATTCGTTCAAAATCAAACATACTAAATCAGCTTGGAGGAATTTTTCGACACGCATTATTTTTTTTTTTTTAGTATATCATCTTACGACTCGAATTCGCATTGCATGTGCGTTGCCGGCGAAGTTTACTGCTGGTGGCAGGATTATAATTCGAGTACCGCTTCATCGCTTGATATGTCTTCCCTACAATCGACTACGATGAAGAGCAATTATACTTCATCCCTAGAAATGAGTATAAATATTGCGAACGGCTTCGAAGCTTCCAGAGATTCTAAATTGTCGGTCGGCCAACAAGAACACGTAGAAATTAACACCACTTTGTCGACTACAATGCCTCCTGTGGCAATTTGCCTCGTGATGGGTATCAATTCCTTTTAATTATCTTAATATTTTAATACATCTCTAATCTGTTTATTATTTCATATTTTATCTCAAAAAATATGATAAAGTACAAAATATTTTAGAAAGTTCTTCACAAAACGAGGTTTAAGATAACATATCTTGACAGTTTCGACATTGGTTACAAAAATGTAGAAAAAAATTAAGATAATCTCAATGTCATTTTAAAGAGTCAATCAAAAGATAAATCAATATCACTTCTTATAGTTTCTTTCAAACTCTACAATTTTTGCTTAATTTTTTTTCAAAAAATGCAGCATTCTTTCAGAGAAATAGCTTTAAAATTAAAATAAATCATATCTGGCATACTATGTATATACGTCTCTGAGATTTCTATGCGGGATTTGTATATATATCATGGGACTTGAATTATAGGAAGAGAGTATCGACAGGGTGAGACTTTACCGCACTCGACTGGAAACTGCGTCGAATGCAGCTGCGGCTCTGAAGGACGCGTCGAATGTTCGCCGAAGGATTGCGTAGCGCTACGGCCGGAAATATTAGTGGCACCTGATATACCTGAAGCACTCGATAGCGATTTTGAGGTTTTCAATCTGGCGCGGGATCGAGGTATCGACGAGAGTTTTTAAAACATCTCATAACGAGTTGTCTGCCAAACCACGCAAATTTGCTTGCCTTTGAATACTGCGATATCGTAAACGTTGCAGAAAGGCCAAACAATAAGAAGTCATTTAATTGAATACGATTTTAAAAAAGAATAGATAATACTGATTCCTGATAAGAAAGATCTTCTCAGTGAACCGAATGATAATAATATTGAATTATAATTCATTGATTATCGAATAAGTGAAACCCATTCCTATATTTTATTTCTATACTCGTAAAAAGTATAACATTTATCTTAAATTTAATTTTATATTTAAATAATAAATCAATTTAAATGTGAGATTATATTTATATATAATATTTAAACTTGATGGGTTTCGATAAATAATGATTGCTTTTTTTTTATTTTTATTCTATAGAAGAATAGCACCTTTTTCTCGATTGAGGACGTGCCTTCAACTTCTCGTCTTACGTGACAAACGTATTCAATCAAAACGGCATTGAAGGCATAGTTCTCGAGCGAATAATGTCTGGCTAGATCTTTTCTATAAAACCCTCAACGAGTGAGAACAACCAAAGGGCCTATTCGGCTAAACATTTTTTTACGTAAATAACCCCATTAATAGCTTGTTACTAGAACTAGTAGACTGGATATGTTCTACATAGAAGTTCCTTGATAATTTAATATTTGCTTATCTATTTTATCTATTGTAAAAAGAAGAGAAGGTATAATATTTTTTAAATGCCGTGTAAATATTGTATGTCAACACTTTTTGACATGTGTTTTATTTGAATTCAATTCGCAATCAGCAGTTTGCGATAGAAGAATCGTATTTGCACGGATTCGAAGAATGTTTGTGTAGATGACGGCCTATGATCTATGAATTAATTACGTGTGCAAATACATACACATCGATCCAAGTCTATAAATTGGTACCGATGAAAAATAATAATAGAATTTCGTTATTACACCGATCTGCAAAACTAGATTTTTTCCCCGTTTAGAAAAGAAGAGTGGTTTTTTCGCAGTTTTTGTATGCTAAATGCAACTCAGGCCTCAAAAAGTGTGTGCTACATCAGGATTTTGAAAAAATAAAAAAAAATATGCCAAAAATAACTATTTAGATCTTAATTATAATACTATATAAATAAACTTAAAACAATTTTTTTAATGTGACGAAATAAAATCCATTTGAAAAGGAAAAATTAGTATCAGTTATCCAGATATTTTTTTCGGAATATCAATAATGCAAAAATCGCTATTTTTGGCACATTTTTTTTTTTTATTTGTTCAATATTCTGATGTGATGCATTTTGAAGATTCAGATTTCGTGCATAAAAATGATGGAAAACTGTTCTTTTTTTTTAAACAACAGACCACTGCAGGGCATGTTATTAGTCGATCACAATAACCCAACTTACGAGACTTAATAATACTCTTTGTCATATCTCTACCATATCGTAATCAATATCCAATCAAGTATTCTAGCCGAGATTATATACATCTCGCATAATGCATTTAAAGATATAAAATTATATAACTATATTATAGATTCTTATATACAACATATAACATAATATGTGGGCTGAGTTTAAGAATGGATTCAGAACTCAAAAGTAATAAAATAAGTGCATATAAATATACAACTCTGATTTCGCCTGCTTTCCGAATTACAGCGAGATTTGTGTTCCTATAAGATTTTTAGGATTTTAAATTCATGAGCAATTTTCAAATATATATAAATGGATAGATGCTATTGTTTAGTCCGCTCGCTTTTTAGAATTAAACTCATTAAATTTTACCTTGTGATGTACTGAATCGCCTTCCAGATTTGCAGCAATCTTTGACAAGTAAACAGAAAAATTGAAGCAAGAACAATTAAAGCCTCTCAATAATGCACTTTAGGCTTACAATTTCAAAGCTCATAATAAAAAATTTACATTATTGTTTTTCAGTGCTTAATCTATTCTTGCAGTGAATCCTATATTATGTTATATTACAAATAGATAGCATAGACATATTTAAATACGATCAAATGATGCCAATGAGTAATAAAAAGTTCTAGTAATAATAACACAATTCAAAAAGGAACTAACGGAAAAAGTAATCATTTTCTGAAAGATCGCAGTGATCCCTAAAATATAAAAAAGAATTTTATCACTGTCTCGAATCATTTCCAAAATAACAGCATATAATATCTTACGTGGACCATTCTGTCTATATATACATATGTCTACACAACATAACTCTCATACACAAAAAAAATACACAAAGCCTATTACAACAAATCATATATTATATACATGTATTATACAAGGTAAATTAATAATTATTAGCATCTTTTCTTGGAAACTATGAAAGTTACAAAACAAATTTCTCTATAGAGAATTGTAGAGAAGAGTCTATCATCTTGTAAGTAAAGTGTCATTTTTGAAATTTAATGAAATAAAGTTGATCTTCAAATTTCCGAAACAACTCTACGAAAAAAATTAATCATATGATGGCCCCTTTTCTCAATTCTCCTTAGAAAATAATTTTTGTAATTCTCAGTTTCCAAGACATCAAAGGTGCTAATTATTAATTTATATAAACCCATATAAACCCCACCCAAGGAACTAAACATTAAGAGGTAACGTTGCATTTAACCTGCGTGAAACAATAATACGAAATTATAATTTATTATAATGAAATTGCAATTCTCTATAAGTAGATCACGATGTTTATTTTTATAGCCATTCTTTCAGCGTTCAATTTTGTAAATTCTCTCTAGCTAATTTCAAAGACTGTATGTATTCTATTTCCTGCGATTTGCGAAGCAGCCACACTGTTCAGGTATCATCTTTGTATAGACAAGAACGACAGCAATTTATAAGCGACTTTGTTAAACAAATATGAAGTGTATTTGCAGAATATTTTGTCACATCAAAGAATTATTTTTTTAACATGAAGTAATCGTATTGAAATAAGTTTTTAACGTCGTTCTTCGTGTCCCTCTTCATAGCGAACCACACTATATGAGAAAGTGATGACAGGGCTGTAGTTGTATACTTTTACCCTGACAACAGCGACAAGAAATCGATTTATAGATAGTCACGTAAATAGGTAATCTCCAATGTGATATATATACACTCCGAAGATAATTTTGTCTAACAGTTTACAATTTTAGATCGGGGGAGTTTGACCTTTTGTCAGAACTAATGGAATGTCTGATTACTGTTCATTTCGATATAAGTACGGAAGACAGAAGTAATACGAATGAAATAATGTTTATTACATTCATTCTTAACAATCGAGAAAAGAAATAAAGAAACAAAGATTATAGATTTCGCGATCGTTCGCCTCAATCAATTTAATTTCAAATTATTTTTTTGTAAATGTGACTTCAACGAAATTCTGCTTGTGACAAAAACGAACTTTTCAAGAAAAACATTTCAAAGTTTGACGATATTGATTATTCTAATTTTCGAATTTAGATTATTCTTAGTAATATTAATTTATTAAAAATAACCACGGCCATTCGTGGAACAGTTTATAGTTTAATTTAGCTTCATGTTTGTTTTATAATAAATTCAATACACAAGCTAAATTTTACATTTTATTTCTTCAAAAATAACAAAGTCTTCTCCTTTCTCGATTTCTATCGTATTTTTAAGCATTTTAAAATTAATTTTAATGAAAAATAAACAGTTTAGATATTGGAACTCTTGGTCAAAATTTAAACACAAAAGTTTTGTCACAAGTCAAATTTCTTTGGAGTGGATCACAAATGAAAAGTAATTTAAAAGAAATGAAAAAAACTTCTGTGAGATTGGAAAGCTATTCCTTGCATTCAGAAATTGAATTAAAAAACTATAGAAAAATTGATTGTTCTAAAGGTGATTGTAATTCTTCATGCAATATATATGTTTTAAGTTCTTGATTGTCCTTTGCATTAGACAAAATTGATAATTAGGAATAAAATACAAAAAATTTTTAATTTATTAATTTTTTGCATTGGAAAGTATCAATTTAATCTACTCGTTTCTTCAATGATCATACTTATTTAATCTTTACTAACGACTTCTGTCTCGCTTGACTTTTAATTGCAGTTTCTTCTGCAGTATGTCTGAAAAATAACAAAATTAATTTTCCTTTAATTTTTTATAATACTTGTACTAATCTATTAAAAGAAATATAAATAGCACTTTTACAAGAAATTAAAACAAATTAATTTTGTTTTTATGGAACTATAATTGAACAACGTGACAGATCGTTAATAAAAGTTTTAAAAAATCCTGTCATTTTTTAAATGTACTATGTATGAGCGGAGTAATTGATAATTGATAATGTACGTTAGATTGTTATGAGGAAAAATTGATAGCAACAAAAATTGCACAGTAATGGAAATGATATTTTTAAATATCCCTATGTACAAGGATTAGTTGTGTGAAGTTAGTTATAAAATACCTTTCAATATCCATTAACGATCCATATTTATCGGATCAATCATGATAGAGTATTTCTCGTTTGAGGATTTCTAGATTTTTTAGTACGACAAAAATGTTAAATTTTTTGTAAAACAAAAGTGGCACATCATTACGGGACCATCTCGATGAAAATAAGCGGATCATCCATTATCCCTTTTGTTCACATTTGGATGATTATCTTGTATGTCTTCCAATCATCTCACGCGCAATTGTATCTATATTGTATTCCTTGGGATTACATGTCTTTACGGAAACATTGCCCTAATAAAGAAAGATTTCTGAATGATATATAGATATTTGTATTTTATTCTGCACAATGCTTCTTATGCTATTGATGTTTTGTGATAAGGCTTTTCATTATCTCTGAAGCTTTATTGTGTCAAGTTTTCCCTCTATAAGATGAAATGATTATAATGTCAATTACAAAATATGAAAAATTTTTTTATATGCCATAGGTGCTCGATTGGCTTATCAACGGTTACAGTTATTAATCTAATAATAAAAATTGTCAATTATCTATTATATTATTAATTAACTTCTTTCTTAGTATTTTTGTTATTTTGGTTTAAGCCTTCTTCCTTATTTCTTCTATGATTATCCCTTTTCTTTATCTGAAAATCATATAATAGATAAACCAATTTAGCTTTGATAAAGTTCACATAAACCATATCATTTTTCATAAATTTGCATCTTTTCAAAATTTGTTTTTTCATACAATGTCTTAATAAAATAGATTCAATTTTAAAGATTATATATCTTCAATGAGCAATAATAGTCTATGCAAATTCTTTTATTGTCTCAGAATACAATTTTTTAATTTTATTCTCAAAAATTCCTAAATTAAACCTAAAAATATAGCTATAAAGAATTTTTCAATCAAAATATTTACCTTCTGTTTGTAAATGTTTCAGTTGTTGATAAATTTTTGACAATCTCATTTCCTCACAACGCAATTTCTTTTCAAGAAGATTTATTTGTTGTTGTAGTTTTTCTTCTATTTCAGATGGTTGTAATCGTTCTGGTGACATTTCTGTAGCAATATCCTAATATTTGAAAATATTAAATAAGTAAATAGATATTAATAAAATAAAAAAATTATTTATAAAAATTTACAAACTTTAGTTTCAGAAATGACTTGTATAGCTTTATCAACTTGAGAAGTAGCTTGTATTTTTTTCCTTGTAGTAGATAGCAATGATACATGTGTTGAAGGTATTTCTTGCTCTTGAATACTACATTGATGATGATTATTATCCTCACTAAAATCCTTCAAAAAATCACATTCTGGAGTTGAATCTTCATCTACATTTGTTTCCTGTTAAAAAACAACAAAACACTGCTTACTACATTTCTATAAAATAAAATACTATTTATTTTCAATTTACTCACAACATTGTCAAGAAATGGAAATACAGGTATTGCCCCTTCTTTTAACACTCGCTTATTTCCAACATATATATACTGTGATTCTTCAAAATGTTGACTACATATTCTGGAATTTTTTGTAATTTTTCGGTTCTTGTTGTATGGTATAACCTCAAACCATTTCTTTAATAAATTTTCATCTTTCAATGGAAATCTAAAAAATCAAAACAAAAATATATTAAAAGCCGCATTTAAAAATTATTCAAGGTGTAGATAGGTTGTTATATTATTTAAATCATTTAGATTAACAAAAAATAAATTTATCTTATACTTACTTAAAAAATGATATATCATCATATGGGTTCCAATTGCTTTTGCATCCGTAAACATAACAACTCATTTTTAAGTTACAAGATTTTCTATTATATTAACTTTTATCAAACTTTTTATAAAAATTATATTAGAACGCAGAGTACTCTCCAATTCTTTCTTATAAATATACAAACCAGAAGAGAGAAAGAGATCGGAATTATCTTGAAAAAAAAGAGAAATTAAAGAGCCACCATACCGTGTATCCAGGAAGTGCGGTGAGGAAGCCAGCATCAGGCCGGCGTCACATAGAACCCGTAATCCGTAATCCGCACCGGAAGTCCGCAAAAGTTACTAGGGATTGCGTCCGTAACGTTACGTATGTTTTTTCTCCTTGTGTCCCATGGAGCCGTAAATACACACGTAACGGTATTACTATTTTTTATTTAACAAATTATAATTGTTTATTTGTATTTTATTCATAAGAAAACTACAGAATATATTATAATTTTAACAAAAATTTTAATTAAATCGTCAAATTTAGTTAAATAAATAAAATTAAAAAAAGCATTACTAGTAATAACTAGTAACTTTTAGTAACTTTTACGGAAATTTCATGGAATTACGGCTCCATGGGACACAAGGAGATAAAACACACGTAACGTTACGGACGCAATCCCTAGTAACTTTTGCAAACTTTCGGTGCGGATTACGGATTACGGATTCTATGTGACGCCGGCCTCAGACTACTAAAAATGCACCATACAACATGCAGCATTTCTAATAATTTACTAAATTGTTTGCGAATTGTTGCAACAATTTGCATAGTCTGATGCTAGCTTTAGGCTTTCTGATTGGTTCACAGCATCTGAAAACAACTTAAGCCGATCTTGAATGGCCTAGTTTACACCGATTGTTTAGTACGCGTACCAAATACTAATAGCGTTTTCGATTATACAGGATTTGAACGACCCAGGGTTGATCAATCACTATTTTACTATAAATGCAAGTCTTTCATTGGTGGAGAGGTTGCAATGACGTCATTAACCAACCCTGGGTCGTTCAAATCCTGTATAATCGAAAACGCTATAAGCCTATAAATACAGCTCCAAAACGCAGTATAACCAGTATGTTCATTCGATAGACGGGAAATAAAGGTATATCTACAGAAAACTGGTGTACATAAATGCATAAGCATATGCAAGTATTGTCTGAATGTAGCCTAAGTACGATGTAAACTGGGTTTAAGCTGATGTTGGCAGCCATATTGCTTTTCAGCATTTAAGTTCCGATAGGTGAAGGAGTGCATCGTTACTTTGGACTGTGATTCAGACGAGTGCACGTCTCACGGGTGTTTCGTATACCTTTGTCTTAGTATTTTTTTTTCACATCATCATGGACGAATCCAACCGCGAGGTGACGGGACACCGGCGGCGACAATATTCATTGTAGTGTGGATAATAGTGACTTGTGCATCGTTTGTATACACAGTGTGCAAATCATCAGTGACCGCGACTTGCGACAGTGGCGGTGGCGACGGGAGACAGAGACAGATTACGCGAGAACGTGTTGGTGTTGCGTGTTTTTGTGAGCCTCCATCTGTGTTGTGCTCGCCATGACGTTGCTGTGAAATCGTATTCCAATAATATCAATCCCGATGTTGGCTATAGGATTGCGCCAATGTAACTTTCGTGCTTTTAACGAGGAGAGAATCCGGGGCGGCGGCAATTCGCGGACACCGAAGAAAGCTTCAAACACGTTTGAAGCTTTCGAGGTCGTATTCATGGAACTATGAACCTGGACTCGTTGTCTTTTACTTTGTCACAAATCAGTTATTTGGTTGCGAATTTGAGTAAGAGAAACTTCGAGGTCAGCTGTCAGGAAATATCGCATGTAAGTGTATCACGTTATTCAGCGATCAACTGAAAATTGTTCTTCGCCTAATTCTTTCATCTACACTCTCCTCCCCCGCGCTTTCCGCTCGGTCTACACTCTCCTGCCCGCCCACTTTATGTATCTTTTACTCCTCGCATCTTCCGAGTGACGTAATATATTTATTTAGTAGTTCTTCGGCCTTACTTTTCCACCAATCTCGCCGATATATTAGCACCAATATCGGAATGTGCTCGTAAAGCGATGCGCGAAGTGCACATACAAGCGCGCGGGCGCGCGTTCTACGTCAGCTCGCACGTTATTATTAAGCACTTCACGCGGTATCGCAATATTTTCAAATGAGCTTTCTTACCTGACCAATACCCACCTGCCTAATCTAACGTATCATTTCGAAACGCGAGACTGGTTTTTTTTTTTCCCGTATATCGTCTTACTGCGGTATTTACCCAATTCGTACCTTAACCTCACTTAGGACTCTACACATCCTTTATTCTCTCCTTTCGAAATCTAGGATTACGTTACGTATCTTGGGAATAATCTGAACATTCTGTCTTTCGCTGCTATTATAATTATATTATGAAAGTATAAGCTGGGAAATGTAGTGTACGTTTTTGTTGAAATTGTGGAAAATTAAACGTTGAACAATTATATGCTAATTCCTAATTTCTTCTGCAGTTAGTGCAGTTGCACGGTCTGGAGGCAGACCGACATTTGTTGCGCTGTCTGATCTCGTATGTTGACTTTTCTAAGGGTGAAGTATCAGATTCGAGCGCAAAAGATTATTTTCAAACAAAGTTGCTGAAGCAGGAGTGCAACAGTTTACTAAGCAAACCTTCCTTTATATCTAACTTGTGCTTTGCTGTGGATAAGCCTCTACATCATCAAAAGGTATTTATGTGCGAATTATTTATTTATTTATTATTATAAATAGTTGATATGTTTGTTTAACAGAATACATACTAATCCTTCTATATATTTTTTTCAGTCATTGAGTCCCTCCCCAAAGTTTTTTACCAACTTGAAAAAAACACTTGATTTGACTCTAGTGCAGGAAGTTGCTTTTGCGATAGCGTTACAGCACTCGGAAAACACAGAGATTCGTGTGTTAGCCTTGGAGTACACACAGAAGCAGTTGCCTGAGTTAATAAAGAATTACATAAATTCTGAGACAAACAACAAGCACCACGAAGGTGGTCTGCAGGATTCTTTGCCTCAGGTTTTGCAATTGATTCTTGGCCAGGCCTTTCACACCACCAATCTTTATAATTTACCAACCGAGGCTAAAGAAAAATTTCTTAAAAACTTGCGACGCGACTTTCCCCGTGAACTGGTACCGGTGGTGTTAGCACCACTTTTGTACCCAGGTGACGGGGAAGTTCTACAGTTCAAAATCGAGTTAAACATGGCCGTCAGTCAAATGGTAAGACAACATTATCGTTAATAACTTACGAATCCGCTGAATATTTATATTTATACAATTTTTTTTCATGTTTTAGGATGGCAACTCTTTAGTAGAGTTAATTATGGAATTAGGATATAGTTTTACTAGTAGCGTAGAAGAATGTCGATCGGCAGTGGCTGGGCTAGGTGCGAGAGAAATCTCACCCACGTCCACAGCTCGCCTATTGGCATATATGTCACGTACTTGTAGTAATCTTGACGATGCTGGAGGTTTACAATCATTTTGGAGCAACTCTGCTGCTTCACAGGATTCTAGTAAGGAAAAATCTACAGACAATGCTACCCCCACAACATGGAATGTCGAAGTGTTTATTCAAGCTTTAAAAGAAATCGTGAGTTTATGTCGCATTTCTTTGCATTTATTATAAAGTCATTTACATATTAAATCCTTAAGCGTTGGGTTGCATATATATCAAATCTGTTTATATTTTAGCAATCTACATTATCTTGGAATGAAGTTATCATGAAGTTGGATCATGCAGAGTTCGTTATCAAGGATAGGCAAGGTTTAAACTTGCTGATCACAGGTCTTAAGTTGGGTCTCCAACATCAAGGATATCCACTGGACGTGTTCCCTGTCGAACTCTTCTACCGACACTGGGATAATGTAGAGGGTCAATTTTCTCTCATTCAGCAAATTCTGAAGTGTCCGGATATTTTTTGCTTTGCGGACTATCCGTACCATTCAGTAACTGTCGATGTGTTAAAGGCAGCACCCGAAGGCGACAGCAAGGAGGGACAAACGTGGCGATCGCTGAATATGGTCGAACTGCTCTTACACATGGCTGAGAGGGGCCTTTACAGTCCTGTGCAAGAGATATTTAAGTGGCCAATTCAGCATTGCCCCGATGTACTCGTGTTGGCGTTATTGCAAATAAATCCACCCATCACAATCTTGAGACAAGAACTGCTGAGCACGCTGATGCCCATCTTTTTGGGGAATCATCCAAATTCTGCTGTGATATTGCATCATGCATGGCATTCCAATAATGTAAAGATAAAAACAATTATAATGCACTCAATGGCAGAATGGTATGTACGTGGCGATCACGATCAAACGAGGTTGTCACGAATTTTGGATGTCGCTCAAGATTTAAAAGCTCTATCAGCCCTACTCAATGCACAATCGTTTCCATTCGTCATCGATCTTGCTTGTTTAGCATCTCGACGAGAGTATTTGAAGTTAGAAAAATGGCTAACAGACAAAATTCGAGATCATGGAGAAGTTTTTGTCACTGCATCCGTCAAGTTCTTACAAAGACGATGTCCTCAAGTTATGGGCCCTGGAATAAAGGAAGATCCTACAATTCCAAAAGCGAGTCAACTACCACAGGAAACGCTTACCACAATACTGGCTTGTTTACAAGTTTGCACTGGGTATGTTTGGGATTTATATAGCTTTTCAATATTTCATGAAAATCACATCTGACTGTTCCATCCTTTTACAGAAATGTCTCCCAGGAACTTTCGGATTTAATCATGACGATGGTGCAGAATTGCAGTCTAATGTTGAGTAAAACCACTATAAACAGACCACCGCCACCGGGAGTTCTGAGACATCGAGCATTAGAACCGTTCAATCCGACAACTTTAGGAAGTCAGGTACACTGAGTTATTTGATTTATCTAATTTTGTAAAAGTATGCATCATACTGCAACATTCTTTTATTACATTCTTTTGTTACGATTTTTATTGTTAATTTATATTATGAAAGAATCTTGTTTTAAAATTAAGTAAATTTTCTACTTTTTTTTGTCACTTAAACATCATTTAAGATTGCGTGTCATCTGTATTCTGTGTAACTGTTTCCGTCGTATGATTTTCTACAGCTATTCTCTTCCAAGCAAGTGGATCCTCTTGGGAATCTCAGTTCTAGTCTTGCTTCGATGGGCCTTGGCACGGCTCTTGGACCTCAAAGTAGCTCCGCTTTCAATTTGCCTGGTGCGTTAGGACCTTTGGTTTCGGCACCCGGATCGCCTTCACGACTTATGGGACCTTCCCCGAGTCCATTCCCTATGTTGCCGCTATCTTCGCAGTTACATTCCGGCCCGGTCGGTACTCAGGGGCCATCGGTGCTACCGGGTAGTACAATAGGTGGATTGGGACGCCTCGGTCCACCAGCTGGCATTGAGAAAGCGAGAATTCCGGAGACTTCCAATTTATTCCCAGATATGGGACAGAACGTATCCAAAGAGGTTGAAGACGAAGCCAATAGTTACTTCCAACGAATATATAATCATCCACCGCACCCAACCTTGTCGATCGACGAGGTTCTTGATATGCTGAAGAAATTTCAGGACTCCGGGATCAGAAGAGAAAGAGAGGTGTTTAATTGTATGCTGCGAAATCTATTCGAGGAGTATCGATTCTTTCCGCAGTATCCGGAAAAAGAATTGCAGATTACGGCTCAGCTGTTCGGCGGGATTATCGAGAAGGGTCTCGTCAACAGCTACGTAACACTCGGATTAGCGCTGAGATTTGTCCTCGACGCCCTGAAGAAGCCGGAGGGCAGCAAAATGTATTATTTCGGCATAACGGCACTCGATCGATTCAAAAGTCGGCTGAAGGATTATCAAACGTATTGCGAGCACGTGAGGACTATTCCGCATTTCAACGAGTTTCCGCAGCACTTGATGGAGTACATCGAGTACGGCTTGCAAGGACAGGAGCCGCCGTCGAGGCCGCAGGGTCCGGTTCTCCCGAAAACTCTGGCGGCCATGTTGGCGCCGGTCACGACCCCGTACAAGACTATGACCACGACTACTGTCACCACCAGCACCACGCAGGCGAAATCGTCTACGACCCCGACCACATCTCTCTCGGCTAGGGTGAGTTCAATACCTTAAATCCGTCTCTTAACGGCGCATATGTGCGTATAACGTGTGGCGCATTTATTTCCGTAGCCTTCCATGCCTTCGGTCGCCAACGCGACCAATATCGACACGCTGCTCGTGGCGACGGACAAAGAGGAAAAGATTACAACACCACCGGAAGCTTTGCAAGACAAAACGGCCTTTATCTTCAACAATCTTAGCCAGTTGAATCTGCAACAGAAATGCGACGAGATTCGCGAGATCGTCACGGAGGAATACTGGCCGTGGATGGCGCAATATCTAGTAATGAAACGTGCCAGTATAGAACTGAACTTTCACGCCTTATATTCTAATTTTTTGGATTGCATAAAATTACCTGAAGTCAATAAAATGGTCACGAGAGAGACATTTCGAAATATTAAAGTGAGTAGAACGGTGTTTTATTCGCAGCAAATGTTTTTACCCGCCAGATGACTTTTTTTTACATAAATTTTTATTTCAGGTTCTCTTACGAAGTGATAAAGGAATAGCTAATTTCTCCGATCGATCGTTATTGAAGAATTTAGGACACTGGCTTGGGATGTTGACGCTTGGCAGGAATAAACCTATTTTACAAGTATAATAAAATTATTATTATACCATATATATATGTGTAGTGCCATTTTAAGTACAATATAAATAATAAATTATTTAATTCCAATTATTTAATCAACAGATAGACATAGATCTGAAGAGTTTACTTGTCGAAGCGTATCACAAAGGACAACAGGAACTTCTTTACGTAGTGCCTTTTGTCGCAAAAGTGCTTGAGAGTTGCGCGAAAAGCCGCGTTTTTCGTCCACCTAATCCTTGGACCATGGCGATTATGAATGTGCTAGCCGAACTACACCAGGAGCCTGATTTAAAGTTGAACTTAAAGTTCGAGATAGAAGTGTTGTGCAAAAATCTGAGCATCGACGTTGGAGTAAGCGTGCTATATTTGATTTCAGCTTTATAGCTTAATTTTCTGTGTATTAAAACCGCTGCGATCTGATTTACAGGAACTGAAGCCGGTGATTTATCTGAAAGATCCCGAGAAGCTGCGCAATCTGGAATACCAGTTGTCGCATCTGAATAAAAAAGCGGAAAGCACCGTCAATCAACAACAATCTCAGGGGCCTATAGAGGAATTGGTCGGACCGACAACGAGCACCGCCATGAATCCTCAATCTGCGCCTCCTGTGAATACAACGCCTTCCTTGCCTACCGGTCCACCTGAACCACGATTTAATTACATGGACATATCAGTGACAGGCATCGCTAATATATCTCAGCACATTACCATCAATAATCAGGTATGGAAAACCTTTTCTCTGTACTAATATATGAATCATTCTTGACATAAACAAATGTTATTTCGACATAAAAATTTGTTTAAAATACATTTTCACGGGTATATCGATTTTCAGCTAGCTCTTTTTCAAGCACATCCTCACTTGAAGCAATTTGTTCGGCCAGCGGTTGAGAGAGCAATTCAGGAGTGGATTCATCCCGTCGTGGACAGATCTATTAAGATTGCTCTCACAACCAGCGAACAGATTGTGAGAAAAGATTTCGCTTTGGATCCGGAAGAAGTACGGATGCGAACAGCGGCGCGACACATGGCGCGTAATCTGACCGCTGGTATGGCAATGATCACTTGTCGCGATCAGGTAAGTCGATGCGGAATACGAAAAAAAAACTGCGAACGATTTGTTAATTTTCTCTTTGTGTACAGATTTTAGCGTCGATCAGTACGAACTTGAAACAAGCTTTCCTCACGGCGTTGTTGAGTACGACTTCACAGCAGAAGGAGCACGTCGAGCAAGCGGCGAATATAGTCGCTGCTGACAATATGGAACTCGCATGTGCATTTGTACAGAAGACAGCTATTGAAAAAGCGATACCCGAGATGGACAAACGACTGCTGAACGAGATAGAGTTACGAAAACTCGCTCGGCAAGAGGGACGAAGATATTGTGACCCTATCGCCAAGTATCAAGCCGAGAGGATGCCGGAGCAAATTAGATTGAAAATAGGTGGCGTGACATCTCAGCAGATGGCTGTTTACGAAGAATTCGCTAGGAATATTCCTGGATTCCTGCCACTTTCCGAACGGGACACACAAGCGCTCTTTATGCCGAAACCCATTTCTGTGCGTATTCAAAACTTTTTGCTAAAAGTTTCTTTGAATATGTAGATTTTACTTTGTATAATCGGTTTCTTTGTCCTAAAACTATTTAATGGAGTTCTTTTTTTTTATTTAAAACTTGAATGCTTTTAATTTTTTGTCTATTTATGAATAGGTAATATTTAAAAACGTATAATTAACAAATTTATTTTAAATGTATAAAAGATTTTATTTTTGGAAACTTTATTGAAAATGCCTGGATAATTGTGAGATTTTCAACTTTTTTTCTAAAGTTTTAAGTGGACTAAAAATTTCTCGATATTTCTGGCTCTTTCATTAATGTATTATATTCTAAAGGAGACTCCTGTTACCACATTTACGCCCAATTCGGCCGTGGCAGTCGCGACGGTACAACAAGTAGCCTACGCTGCGGCAGTTAGCAATGATGAAGTGGGCGCCGTGCTTGAAAAACTGGCGTCAGAAGTAGAAGTTCTATTGAACGCTCTGGGACCGGCGGCGCCGCCGCCGCAGCACGCTGCCCTTCACAGCCTTTTGGAATCGATCATTCTTACCAGAAGATCGAGAGACGCTGGCGCCGCTATGGGATTACTGAAGAAAGTGGGTTATTTACACTGAGCAAACATGATGTTTACACGAGTTGTGAAACTGTAAAACTTTATCGGCAATGATTGTTTCAGGCCGTTGAAGGTTTACTGGACGGGCCTATTATTTCTAATAGCGTCATCGAGTCGGAGAATCTCATACAACGCTACAGGGACTTGCACTTGCGTATCTTGAAATGTCTTCAAGATCAACGCGCATACGGTATGCAGTGGACCAACAAACACGTAACTCGTTGCCTAACCGAATGCAGAGAGGAATTCCGATATAATTTCGAGGCCGTCGATTATCTCATAAGGTGCGCGCACGATTTACGCAATATTTCACGAGGCATAAACTACGTTAACATGATGGGTTTATGGGTTTTTTTATACCTATCAAACCACTCTTTCGTATTGACAATGTAAACTGCGTGAACTATTATAAAAATTAATAACTGATTTGATTAAACGGTTAAGATATTTGATTTAGATATCGATTCTCGAGGTATTTATATTTTGATAAAAAGTTGCGATAAATAATGATGTCGCTTCACAATTATTTATAATGTGCGTTATGTAGCAGAAGTGAACTCACAGTGAATTAATATACGTCACATCTTTTTGGCAGATCTCATTTGATTAGTCTTCCGCAATACGATGTAGCTCTGGCCCAAGCTATGGAGGCAGGAAATTCTATGGCAACTGCATTTGCTATGCAATTGGTTCAACTCTATTTGATTGACGAGAGGCAGGCGACTCACGTTACCGAAACCGACTTGTTCCACACGATTGAAATATTGGCTCGAATGGCACATCATAGGACACCACCGGATGGGTATTATAATAAATACTGAAAAATAATATTGAAAAAGGAGACGTTTTGACAGCTGCGTAGCAGAACTGGAGATTTTGGAGAAAAATAACAAAGCTGTTATTTAATATACAGTTTTCCTGTCAAAATCTCCTTTTTTTCTCTTAGTTGCAATGTTAAATTAGAAATTAGATCACCGTTTTACATTGATTCAAACTTTTTTCAAGGATCTCACTCTTCAGATTAACAAATCTAGTAGATTCGTTGCGTGCCAATCATGATTCTGGCGTATTGGTAGACAGAGCTCCGGCAGGACCGACGGCACATATTCATTCTGGAATCCTGCAGGTGAGAGTAAGTAGATTGTTCAGATTATTCAATTCTAATAGAGTATGTCAGCGATGATATTTCGTATCACACATCCAATGACGTTTGTCGACATTTAACGATATTTTATTATTCCTAAAGTGTCAATGATATAACACTAAGATCTTGACTTGCAAAATGTAAAGACCATTGTTTTCTATTTTTCCACCTTGTCCTCTCCACGTGGACTGGCGCTTCAACATGATTTTTTTTCAATATTAACTTATTTTCTACCGAACTGCAATCGGATGAAAGGATGATATTAACGTCTTCCACATCTTTCACATTATGTTGAAATTTGCGAGCAAATTTTCCGTTTTATTTGTATTATTATTAATGTACACTGAAGAAGGCCCGATGGCAGGTCGAAACGTTTGATTTTTCGTAAATAATTTAACGAATATATTTTAAACTTCGCACGAAGAACTAGCATTGTGACTCTTTACGCTCCTATTAATTTTAAATGATTTTTGTAATCAGTTGAGCCCTATATTTGATTAATTTCAATGATATAAATATTGCTGAAAGAGTACGGAATATCTCTACAGGTATCTTTTTCCACATGTCGTAATGAAATTAACGTGTGCCGCTTTCGCAGGCTCGCGATTTCGACGATCCACCCGGACTGATGGAAAAGACGGAGTATCTGCTGCGCGAGTGGGTCTCAATGCACCACAGCCCGCAGCACGCGCGCGATCCTACGAAAGCATTCAGCATATTTGTACATCAAATGAACATCCACGGGATCCTCAAGACTGACGATCTCATCACACGATTCTTCAAGCTCAGCACGCAGATGTGCGTCGATCTCTGTTACCGTGCTCTCTCGGAAACTACGACGGCGCCCTCGATTATGCGCGCAAAGTGCTTCCACTCGTTGGACGCGTTTGTGCGTCTTGTAGCCCTGCTGGTGAAGCATTCGGGCGACGCCACCAACACTCACACGAAGATCAATCTTTTGAATAAAGTGCTTGGTATCGTAGCTGGTGTGCTTCTGCAGGATCACGAAATACGCGGCACCGACTTCCAACAGCTACCGTATCACAGGATCTTCATTATGCTCTTCTTGGAGTTGTGCGCGCCCGAGCCAGTGCTGGAAGCCGTCAACTTCCAGGTCCTGACGGCCTTTTGTCATACTCTGCACATACTGCGGCCGGCGAAAGCGTCGGGCTTCTGTTACGCCTGGCTGGAACTGGTCTCGCATCGCGTCTTCATCGGACGCATGCTCGCCATCACGCCGCAGCAAAAGTGCTGGGGGATGTACGCGCAACTTCTCATCGATCTCTTCAAGTACCTCGCGCCGTATTTGCGTAATGCGGAGCTCGCGAAACCCGTGACGAGCCTCTACAAAGGAACGCTACGGGTGTTGCTGGTGCTGCTGCACGATTTTCCCGAGTTCTTATGCGATTATCATTACGGATTCTGTGATGTAATACCGCCGAACTGTATACAAATGAGAAATCTGATTTTGAGCGCGTTCCCGCGAAATATGCGCCTGCCCGATCCGTTCACGCCGAATCTGAAAGTCGACATGCTGCAGGAGATAGCGCACGCCCCGCGCGTGCTCACCAATTTCGCGTCTACGATACAGCCGTTGACTTTCAAGAAGGAGCTCGATTCTTATCTGAAGGCACGCGCTCCGGTCACCTTTCTGTCTGAACTTCGCAGCAATCTGCAAGTGTCGCAAGAGGCCGGTGTGCGCTACAACATACAGCTGATGAACGCTCTGGTGCTCTACGTGGGCACGCAGGCCATAACGTTTATTCGCAGCAAGGGCCACGCGCCCAACATGTCCACGATCGCGCATTCCGCGCACATGGACATCTTCCAGAATCTCGCTGTCGATCTCGACACCGAGGGTCGTTACCTGTTCCTGAACGCCATTGCGAATCAATTGCGGTATCCCAACAGTCATACGCATTACTTCAGTTGTACGCTTCTTTACCTATTCGCCGAGGCGAACACGGAAGCGATACAGGAGCAGATCACCAGGGTCCTCCTCGAAAGACTGATAGTTAACAGACCGCACCCGTGGGGTCTGCTCATCACATTCATCGAGCTCATCAAAAATCCAACGTATAAATTCTGGTCGCACGAGTTTGTACACTGTGCGCCAGAAATTGAGAAGTAAGTCGACAAAATGTTTATCGATATCAAGACGTGAATAAGCGTGCATGACAAAAGTTTTTTTATTTACATCGCTTTATCTGTATAATTCAAAAGTAATTTTTTGATTCCAAGTGTAAAATTTTATAAAATTCATAAATTTTTTTTTAATCAAATCTAAATTCTCTTATAAAAATTTTATATTTTTACAATAAATCTAATATAAATGAGACAGCTTTATAAATTTTTAGCAACAATGCTCTGTGACTCAGATTCCGTTTGTTGTTTCAGATTGTTCGAGTCTGTAGCTCGATCTTGTATGGTGCAGAAACAGGTTCCCACGACGGAGACAGAGATTCCGGAGTGATAGAATTTTTCACTTTTCGTTATCATTAGATGTACAGTGACTGTATCGCGTGTAAAAAGTTGTATGGATAAAGTATACCGTCAGATTTCATTTCTCACGGTGAATAATTACTGATCGTATATAGGTATATATTAATTCATATAGCATAAATGAGACAATTATTGCATTAATATTTTAATAAAATTGGTCGACTAGGAATAAGTTTGACACATCTTGCTAAGTGTGTTTCGGACAATTGTATTTCACTCTATGTATTATATACGAACGACATTGTACACATGCATATAAATACGTGTGTGTGCGCGTGGGTGTGTGTGTGTGTGTAAAGCAGTGTCATAAAGTGTATAATGGAGCAGAACAGAGTATGCAGATGACGAATAATGTTCAAGAAATGCAACTACACGGACATTTCTTACGCATAGTGTAGAATATGTTGCGTGTATTCGGATGTGATGTATACATAGAACTCCGAGCATTGTCAGACACTTGTAGAGAGATAGATGCGCTTTAGAAATTATTGTTTAAGTGTACAATACATTTCGAAAGCTGTGACATAGTATAAAGTACTAGTATATACATGTGATCTTTTTAAGACTAAGTAGTTACGCAACAAGGATGGGAGGATATAAGTGATCGGCATCGGATGTAATTCATTTACGCGATTCTTTGTCTTGAAGGATTTCTACTGTAACCTTTTAGATCTTTCGATGTAGTGGTTTTTATGAGTGATACATTAAACAATTTATTAAATCTTTTGCTATATACATCATTTGTACACATTGAAGTATCATTGGCTGAGTGGAAGATTTACGAGGGTTGTTGATCGCGCGTAGCGTGATACGCGTCTCTCTCTTTGTCGGGGAACTTGGTCGGTAAATTCGGGCTGTGCAAGTGGCACTTCGCGGAATACATGATGCCCGCGACATTCACCTCGTAATCGCCCGATAATACGTATTCGTTCGTCACCTCTTGCGGCTGCCCTTTCGAATCGAAGTTTTGCACAAACCCAAGACACACCTGATGAATTCGATAAGATTCAGTTTTCAAAAGAGACAAAATTTTGAAAATCCAAGTTTTATATGAAAAAAAGTATAAAAAAAGAAGCTTCAAGCTACCTGCTTTTTAAATGTAAATCCATAACCCGTGGTCGTCGTCATCCCGCAATATTTTCCATTTCTGTAAATGGGCTCGCTGCCCCAGGGCCAAGTGTCCAACTCAAGATCGTGATCGTTCAACAGCAACTGCACGTACTTACGTTGAACGCCTTGGTTGCGCTGTCTTAAAAGAGCGTCTCTGCCGATGAAATCGATTTCTTTCTGCGAGATGAAAATTTCACACGAATAAATTCACGTATAGCGATTCCTCTAAATTCCATTAATTTTCAATATCATTACATCGAATTTCACTCTCCACGATCGGCCGCATTCCAAGGGAGTGGTGAAGGTATCTAAATCTTGTCCCCAGAATGCATAAAACTTTTCAACGCGCAAAGCCCGCGTTGCATAATAACCAGCGTGTTTCATCCCGTATTTTGCTCCGGCGTCTATTAGCCTCGTATAAACGTGCAGGGCAAACTGAAAGTTACAAAATCTTTAGCTTCTTGCAGATTTAAGATACGATTTCCAATCTAGTTGTTTTTTTATGAAAATTAAAATTATTAACTCCGAAAACAAAGATGATATAATAGCGATCACTTGATTACTTGATCAAGACTGTTACCTCGTTCGGAATATACAGAACGTAGCCAAGCTCTCCAGTGTGCGTTAAATTCATTGTGCGAATACCATTGGCGAGTCCAACATCTAATTCCTAATTAAAATAACAAGCAAGCAATGACTGAGGAAGATAAATTTTTATATTCGAATGTTTACCTTAAACGTGAAAAATGGAAAGTTTTTTGGATTCAAATCTATGTCTGTCAATTCGGTTAACAATCGTCTGGTGGCCGGACCCATTATGCAAATTGCAGTGTACGCCGATGTGACATCAGACACGGCGACAGAACCGTCCGCTGGCAAGTGTCGGTGGATCCAATTTTTGCAACGCGTTTGTTGAATAGTTGGGGCGATCATCATGTAACTAACGAAAGTTTTCAAACATATTTTTATGTATTCATCTTTTATGCAGGATGGTCCGCGTTATTAATACAACCACAAAGAAAATAATTTACCAAATTTTATAAATATAATTTTCTTGAAGCAAACTTATTTGTGTGTGTGATATTTTCAACTTATTTTTTAATATATAAATTTAATTTCTTTGCCATTATCATTTTATATAGTTTTAATGTGCCAAATAATCTCTATTCGTTAAATATAAAAATAAAATAATATTCTACACCTTTTCATCTTTCTGGTTGTATCGTTAACGACAGACTATCCTACGCAATTCGAATATATTGCAACTTACTGATTCGGTGCGATTCGCGCTAAACTACAATCATTCTCATAGCCACCACGTCGATTCTGCATACCGGTATGGATAATACTTCCCACGGGCACATCTACATCGTTTGAGCACAAATACTGTAACAAATCCACGACTTCCGTGTCGTTCGACTGAAACGTTATAAAGATATTGAACATCTCAATGAAAGTTTACTAACAGAATCATATACAAGCTGTCGAATAGTTACCCATAAATCGATTTTCGTGAAAGAAGAATAATCGCTCAGACCGATCGCTTCTCTACAAGCAGCGTATTCTTGCGCGACTGCATCGAACCAAGGAGGTTTGCAGAATGTGTTTGTGTAGGCTATTTTATATCTTTGAAAACCATCGGGAAACTCTAAATCTATCAAACATATTTCTTATATATACAACTCTGATTTTTATAAAATGATGATAAATCAAAATTACCATAGTCGTCATCCGGCTGAAACCAAGACGGTCTCTCGTAGCCCATGACCTGGCCGAAAACGGCACCAGCGTCTCTCAGCTTCGGATAAATCGGTGACATTCTCAGATTTCGTCCGGTTTTGAACTCGTGGTGGGGATATTGCAGCGCGTAGTGCATTCCAGGCACTTCTCGCACTCGATCGCGCAGGAACTTGCGATTATTGTGCAATCCGAGGAAGCGGGACACGTCTAACTCGTACATATCTAACGAAGTCGAGCCGTTAACTATCAATTCCGCCGTTGCGCGACCGACTCCGCCAGCAGCGGATATTCCGACCTTTGAAAACCGATCATCTGTATCGTAGAATTTTAAGAGCCAAGCTACAATTAAACATTGTTCTAACCGACTAATCGACTAACCGTTTTCATTCCGGCCGCGATATAATAATTGCATATTTCTGGAGCCTCTCCCACGATCCATTTGCAATCCGGAGAAAATGCCTCGGGCCCGTTGCAGAGTCTCTCTAGAACCGCATTTCCTAGACTTGGAATTCTATGCAGCATCTGTTCCAGCAAAGTGTGAAAGTGATCCCAATCTTCCGGCAAAAACCGCTTATCCATGCTCTCTGCAAATAAAAATTAAGCTCGTGTGTGTCACATTTTTCATAATCTATCAAATTAAATTTGAAAATTTTGACCAGAGATTTGAATTCGACTATTTCAAAAACCTACAGATACCGTGTTTGTGGAGATTTAGTTAAAAAAAAGATTTTTCAAATAACATATATGAGACATTAAGACTTAAGGAGTTAATTTAGCGAGGAGGACAAATAATTAATCGTTTTGATATATAATTTTGCGTGTAGAATAAAATTGTGTCTTTATCTGACCAGGAATTATGCCGTCTTCAAAGGCTGGTTTTGCGACCGGCTCGAAACCGCCAGCCAACAATCGACCCTCGTTCTCTCGAAAATAGATATATCCGTCCAAATCGCGCACAACAGGTGTCATTGGATCTAAATTAGTAATAGGTTTAGTGTGTAAGTAGTAGTGTTCCACTGGATGAAGTGGTACCTGGAAAAATAATACAAGCAGTGCACTATTTTTTGTTGGCATCTCTTCCGTGTCTTTCTCATATTGAATTACTGACTTTTACGTATGGCTCACTGAGTTTCCCTACATTCCGCGCCCAAAATCCAGCACAATTTACAAAATGTTGGCATTCAATGGTACCGTTTGTTGTTTCCACCGCTTTCACTCGACCGCCCTGATTGATAACCTTTGTGACCGCACAATTCTCCAGTACTGTGACACCTGAATGTAAAAAGAAATATTTAAAAAGCAATTCACACAGCAAATATTTTTATAAATATCTTATTTATTAAATACTTTTTAGAATTTAGAATTTACAACTTTTCTCAAAAATAGTGTCTCTTGTTTTACCTCCTTGTTGCGCTTCTTGAATCAGTGTTAAGCAGATTTGATATGGATCACCGACCCCGTCTTCTGGAATCCATAATCCCCCAAAGAGATCATCAACATGTAACAATGGACATAGATCTCGAATTTCTTCCGGTGAAACTAAGTGGCACTCAATATCACGCGACCTAAGATATTAAAAAATAAAGATATTAAAATATAAATGTCTACTATGATATTGCACCTAGTAAATATTTACACAGATTGTGCCTTCATTCGCCTGAACGTAGTCATACGATCTCTTGTTCGCGCCAAAGAAAGGCTGCCACATTGTTTCCAGCCTGTCAACAAGCCTTTCTTCTCCAATTCTTTATACAGCGCAATACTATCCTGAGCAAGTTTCACTTGTGCCAGACTGGGTTTGAAAGCTCCCACTAATCCTGACGCATGCCATGTTGTTCCTCCTCCCAGTCTGTAACAACAGAATAAAGATATAATAATTTATTTAGAAAAGATGTATATAAAAAAAATATTTACCTGCCACTTTCTACTAGAACAGTCTGCGATCCCAGTCCCATCAAAGACAAATGATATGCCACAGCACCTCCCATAACACCACCTCCACATATGACAACTCGTGCTTCTTTAGGAAATGAATATTCAGCATCTTCTATTGTATTGATAGATTTTGTAGCTATTTCTGCTGTTTTGTGATGATTAAAAAGATTTCTTCCTTGCATTACACATCTACCGTACAACAGCTTGGATTGTTGCCACATTTTGATTGATTGAGGTTACAAAATTGTGTTTTCAAAACCTGATTAATCTACTATTTTTCTCGAGACATAAAATAAAATAAATGTATCTGTAGAGTTAACACTTAGCCAAGCATCTCTGACGTTTAACTATTATAATAATCATAATTATGTTTTTAAATAAAGCGTCTCCAATTTTATCTTTAAATTACAACACACTATACACATATCTAAGTACATCAAGATGTAATGGAATTTAAAAAGATACGCTGAGAGATATATATAAAAGTTTTTACATGCATAGTAAACTATAAAATGCTCAAAAGTGCTGCAAAGCAGTGTGGCTAGATTTGAGACACAAAAAGCAAGCAGCTAATAGCGTTTTCGATTATACAGGATTTGAACGACCCAAGATTGGTTAATGACGTCATTGCAACCTCTCCACCAATGAAAGACTTGCATTTATAGTAAAATAGTGATTGATCAACCCTAGATCGTTCAAACCCCGTTTATTCGAAAACGCTATAAGAGTTTTATATACATATGCGTAGAGTATATATAAGTATACACATATATAGCGTTTTCGAATAAACGGGGTTTGAACGATCTAGGGTTGATCAATCACTATTTTACTATAAATGCAAGTCTTTCATTGGTGGAGAGGTTGCAATGACGTCATTAACCAATCTTGGGTCGTTCAAATCCTGTATAATCGAAAACGCTAATACAGAGTAGTCAAGAGAGTCTACAACAGAAAGAGACAAAACAATCCGAATGCTCTCTTTGTCTGACCATGTCTTGAGCAGCACAGCACTTTTCAGTTTGTATAGAATTCAGTAATCAGATCAGACATATATTTATATACTTTTTTAATTCTAAATTAATTGCTCAGATGTTTCCCATATATTAAATTACATACTATATAACATAATAATTACAAATAAAGAAAATAATAGAATGAATCATATTACATTATATTAAGTCATATATTTCAAAATATAAGCTACAAGTCTTAAAATACATATTTGTTTTTTATTATTTATATTCTTCATTATATCTATATCTTAATATTAATACACTTTGTTCCATAATTCTCTTGTAAATAGATAATAAAATATTTATTTATATTGCACATAATTTTTGATAAAATCATGATTATGAAATAAATGAAGTCAAATGTTACTTTTTTATACAAAGTGGAATATTCATATCAGATGAACACATCTCTTCATTAAGCTCTGTAGCAGATTGTTCAGGATTATTATTACTGGCAATTACTGGCAGTATAACTACTGGCAATTCTTGAGTTGATACTTCAGATACTTCATATGTATGTGTTTCATCTATTGAATTTTCTGGATTGCTTGTCTTTAGAATTTCTTCAGAATCACGTTTAGACACTGAAGCAAAATTACATTCAATATCTTTGTTCCCAGCTTCACTAATATTTGTGGTGCTAAACTTTATTAAATTTGATTCAATGGCTGATATAACATCTGCAGATTTATGACAACTTGAAGAATTTTCATCTGTGTCTGATAAATTGTTGGCGTTTTCATTATTCATGCTATTGTCCTTGTCCTTCCTAAAATATATCTCAATTTCTGATGTCGATCCTAATAGTAAAGGATTTTGTAGAAGCATTTGTTTTTCTAACAAATCATCTATGGCTGCATCACTTGTATCAATAGAAGCAGCTGGACCACTACTTGGTCTCTTTAGTTTTTGCTCTAGAGGGTAAACAAATAATTGTTAATTTTTAAATACATTTATATATATAATGATAGTGTTACTATAAACCTTACGTTTTAGTAGATCGCATGCTACATAATCAGCAGCTCTAAATAATTCTGCTTGTATGAGAAGCTCTAATAATATTCCTAATGTTGGTCTCTTCCTTCCCATAGTGCTCCATTCATCTAAAAATATTTGAGCTGGATTGCGCTTGTCTCTGTATTGCGATGCTTGTTCTATCGTGCTATATAACCAAAATATAAATTATTTCATTAATTTTCAAAGAAGACAACCACTTACTTACTTTAAAAACTTTTTAGTAATACAATATTTTGTAAAATGACAATATTTTAAAAAATATTTTGTAATTTTATCTGATTTACCGAATATGATCACCATCAAATCTGGGAATATCTCCTTCCTTAAGCACAATAGTCATTAATTTTTTCCATGCATCAGAGTCGTTTAATATAATTGCCAACTTGTACATCTCCTCAGGTTTTACTTTACGTATTTCAGTATCCTTATTATATGCCATTTTTGATAAACAACGCTAAAAATTAAATTTTTACCAAAATTATTGTGACAGTTCTGACATAAAGCGACAGATCAAAAAATTAGGTTAGAATCATGGAAATTTCATATGATAATGAATCATGTGGAAACTCAAGTCTGAATTTTCCCTTTTACTTTATCTCTAATTTCGTTCTTTCTTTATCTCATTACTCTAAAATAAATTTTAATAAAAAAATATGTAAAAACAAGTTGTTAATAACATAATCTGTATATAAAAATAAAAAAACTATTTTTATGCATGCAAATAATATCTATATTAATGCTTCGGTTTAAGCATTTAAAAATACAATAATAAAGCACACATTCTTATTCATTTTTATTTTATAAAATACAATATACAATATGAAACAAGATATCATCAAACTTTTTCTCTGATATTTATGCTTATATAATTTCCAAATTAACATGCATGTCGAGATTAAAGTTTTCTTTCAACTCTTATCCAAACCAATGATTACCCATGCATTCTCTGGTCCATTCCGTTTGACACACCCAACACCAATGATAACCACATCCTGGTCTTGTGCATATCATATGCATGCAACCTCCTATAAGTAAATTTATAATACTTATAAATATTGAGAAATGTTTCTTAAAATTATCTTCAAAAATTTAAATTATAGATTTTTTAAAATATCTGGTGTTGCATGCATTTTGTTACTTTTTTTATTATTCTACCAATAAGACTCTCAAAATTTAAATATATTAGCAAAAAGTTAATTTTTGCGAATATTTACCATCTTTTTCAGTAGGAGTTCTGCATTTAGGACAAGGTTTTGTAGATATTTGAATTATGTTTTTACTAGCTTCATCCCATTTAGCCTTAAAAAATTCAAAAAAGATAAATTGATTGATAAAAAAAGCTATTTTGATAAATGTATTAATTTTACCAACTTCACTAGCTTTTAGAGGATCCACTGAATAATGTTTTGAAAAAAAGATACTTGTGGAGGCCCCTGATGTTTGTGATTCACAGTCTCCTACATGATAACCTTCTAAACAAATTCTGCAAAAAACATACTGAAAAAATAGATAAGATAAAATAATTAAAATTATTATTATAGAAAATTGACAGTTTAATAATTTTAAAAAAATACAAGAACTTACACCACATCCAATACACTGAATTCTTCGACACTCTTCATCAGTTTTCACATCAGATGGTATAATGCCCATTCCACAGTTTGGTCTTGGACATAACAGTCCACCAGCTTGTAAAACATATTCTTCTGTACCAAATCTCTGATACCTCTCATACTACACATTAAATATATCATAATTATAGAAATCCATGTTGAAATATAAAATTGTTTACAATTACAGACCTGTTCTGTGTTAAGAAGATGAAAATGATGAACTTCTTGAATAAAAGAATTGGGGCATCCAGCAGGGCATGGCAAGGTATAATATCCCTCAATAGTATCAAATTCAAATCGTCGCTCTTGTAAACGAACTATGCAATACTCGTGAAAACAGTCGAGGCAAGTTACATGACCAGCTTCACAAGGAAACACTAATACAGTCTCTCTGTATAAAAAATTCAGTAATATTAATATCACTACTAAAGTTTCTGGCAGATCATCATTACTACAAAGTGCATACTTGACATCTGTGCATGCCAGACAAGGAATATTGCGTAGATTTGGCTTTACAAGATAAAGAGGTACAGCTTCATCGTTCTCTCCTAAACTGGGATGTTTTGCACACTTAAAATAAAAGCGAGCATAGGAAATTTGAGACTCTATATCTTCATTGTGTATGCTTGAAGTTGTAGGACAAAAATCACTTTCACAGTGTACAGTTATCCTTTTCGGTTGCAAAACATCAGACCAGCTTTGAGGATCTCTATCAACGGTCACAGCGCCACTATTACATCTCGAACATTTAACTCTCAGCTTGCCAGCTGTTACATCTTTACATGGCGCAGAACAGTATACATAAAAATGTGCTCGATTTACCTGCTGTTCTGTCAACAATAATATGAAAAAATGAATTAATCTTCTGTTCATTGTAGCTTGTAAAAAATATTATTTTTATTAAATATTACTGCCACCTTCTAGAGATAAATATTGCTGATCTGATTCATCCAAAGATAAATCCTTAAGCATTTCATTCATAGGTTTGCTACTACTGTCATTTGAATCAGATGTCTCTGCCATAGACTCTTCTATAGAATTTGAAGCATCATTCTTTTTATTAAATATTTTATGAGGCATCTTTACTGCATGCAAAATGCTTTGCTGACCTAAATCACATTCCTGCAATATGAAATGTATCAATATTACAATTAAATATTCAAGTACAAAAATGCCTTCATATACATATAACTTGGCTCACCTCTATTATGGTTGAATTATGCAGCTCTTTACCTGCAAAGATAATTTTGACATCTTCTGGTGCTATCCCCATCCGAGGTGCAACAATTTCCTTCAGATTTTTTATATCCCATTTTGGATCTAATTCGACGGAAAGTGTACTTCCTGTATTTGTTTTAACATATATGCTCAAAGAATTTGATATTTTCCGTTTACCAAACCACAATAATTGTAACATTCCAAGAAAAGCGTTTTTCAGTAAATCAAACAAAAAGCTCATAACCTCTATAATGATATAGCTAATTATCAGATATAATTATCAGATATGCTTATCAGATATAGGAGAAAATAAAATTTAATTACTTCTGAATCTTATTCGTGATATAAAAATATTGAAAATTTGCAACTTGCTCAACTTTTTAGGTTAGTGTACTTTGCATTACACCGGTATCAGGACTTGAATTTTCGTCTCAATTAAGGTATATCCAGATGCACTTGCATAAATGAATAATACACATGTTTAAGAAAATGAACCAATCATGTATCCGAGATAAATTAATATTAGTCATGTGATGAAGGAATTAATCAGGCGAAACTATCTATTTGTCCTGTATTATCCTATTTTAGTGCAGTCTCAGTGCAGCTAAAAAGAATAAACCCATTATTAAATGGACAGTCTCTTCTGGTCTCTTCACAGGAATAAAAAAAATACAAACTCCACGTAAAAAACCTTAAATATAGTGCACTAACGTTATTTTTTTCTAATTGTACAAAAAATTTTATTAATTTTTTATATCTCTATTCATTGATGGTGATCTTTGTAAAAAAGTGTTTATATACCGCATGTATTTTAAGAAGTGACGTTTGTGACATAATTCGACATATAGGATGTTTCATAATAAGTCTGCATAATTCTTGAATTTAATATTTTTAAATTTCGTCAAAAATGCTTCTAATCAGAAAAATACGGATATATTTTTATATAATTTAAACATACATTTTTTACATTACTACTGATGCTAGCTTTTTCCAATTATCTATTGTAACTAATGTTTGAATAAAATTAAATGTAACTTAATTAATTTACAGTTTATCAGTTTTAAAATTTATTTTATAACTGTCCTTGTGCATTTTTTCATATATTATTTTTTTTCAATATTGTAAGCTTAAAATAAATTATGTAGCATGTCTATCAATGTGTAGAGTGGTGCAGATTTATTATGAGTCTCTCTGTTTGGTGATCACACACACATGCAAGAATTGCCTTTAGATACAAGAACTTTAATAATGGCGTCTCCTCGGCCCAAGTCACCTCGTACTCCAATTTCTAAGAAAGATGAGAAAGAAGAAAGTTTTTGGGATAAAATTGGAACTCTCGGGAGAAAAAAACGCATTAAGGAAGGTACTATCTATTTCTTATATCGTCTGATAATATGAAATTTACTCAAACATCATTACATCACTGTTTAATAAGCTTGTATCCTTATATGGAGTGAGATATGTCATTCCACAATTGACGAAAATAATTGAAATTGTTTAAAAATAGGAAATTACATTTTAGTTCATACATTTTTAAACTAATTCTTATATTAGAAACTTTTATTTAGTCATCTTAAATTATCTTAATCAAGATTAAAACGTGCTGTCTAAAAACTATGACAAGGACATTATATTTCCAGTACAAGAAGTGCAAGAAGAAGGAAAATATGCAATTGATTCACCTGGGTATGCTGCCAATCCCGATATGCCACCAGAGGATTATGCTCTTGACGAGAATGAAGAACGTTCCATGATAGAACCGAAATCTTTGGAAGATCCTAAGATACAAGAGTTGATATTCGTATTAATCGAATGGATCAATGACGAATTAGCGGATCAGCGAATTATTGTGAAGGATATAGTAGAAGATTTATATGATGGACAAGTGTTACAAAAACTTTTGGGTACGTAAAATATATATGCAACTTAAAGTGTAGAATTTCCAATTTATCTGTGAACGGAATAAAAGCAATCCTAATTTCTCTTTAAAAAATTTTATTTCAGAAAAACTGACTGGAGAGAAACTGGATGTACCTGAAGTGACTCAGTCTGAGGAAGGGCAAAAACAAAAGCTTGCTGTCGTCTTGTCTGCTGCAAATCGAGTGCTAGGCCGATATCCGCCTTACAAGTGGAGCGTCGAATCTGTACATTCAAAAAATATTGTTGCAATTTTGCACTTACTGGTTGGCCTAGCCCGATTGTTTCGCGCTCCTGTTAGATTGCCAGAAAGAGTTTCCGTTCAAGTGGTTGTGGTTCGTAAAAAGGATGGTCAGCTGATACACAGGACAGTGAGAGAAGAACTGACGACAACGTACGACGATTTGGGTATGCGTTGTGAGCGCGATGCGTTTGACACTCTTTTTGACCACGCGCCGGATAAACTAGCTGTTGTGAAGAAAGTAAGTGAAACAATCTCGTAGATTTTTGTCTTTCTTTTCCATGCTTTTACTAATGTGTTATCATTTTTCAGTCTTTGATAACATTCGTAAATAAGCACTTGAGCAAAGTACATTTGGAAGTGACTGACTTGGATACTCAATTCCATGATGGTGTATTCCTTACTTTACTGCTTGGTCTTTTAGAAGGCTTCTTTGTTCCATTGGGTAGCTTCCATTTGACTCCAAAGACCATTGATCAGAAAGTGCATAATGTTTCGTTCGCATTTGATATTATGCGGGATATCGGTTTACCGAAACCTAAAGCCCGTCCCGAAGGTTTGTAATTTCTAATATTTAATTTCACGCAAAGCGCTATATCAAGAATTTTTTTAATCCATGACTTGTATTCTTTTAATATATGAATTATTTCTCTTGCAGATATCGTAAATCTGGATCTGAAATCTACTCTTCGCGTGCTATACAATCTCTTTACAAAATACAAGGGGATAAATTAGTAAGATATACGTACTCAGTTGGTCTCATGTGCAAATGTCGCGTTATTATAATTAATATTTTAATTACATTAACATTTTTTATGTTATTCTGTCATTGAACTGCCATTACGAAGTTATTTACACAAAGTGTTCAATATAGATTTCATTTTTAGACTTTGCTACATTCTTTTTTCTCTAAAGTATGAACATATGTAAATATTATATATTTTTTTAAATCAGGCAAATAAAAACAAAAAAAGGATACAACTAAATAGGAGAATCTATACACATTGTAAGCTTTAAATAACGTGCCTTTTTATATATGTATAATGTATAATATAGTATTTTATAAATAATATTTATTTATCACATTTGTGAACTGTATTGATGTTTTCTAAATAACTATATTAATAAATATTTTAATAAATTTTATAAGTAGTCTTTGCATTCTCTAAATCCACTCTACAACATGTATGCAACAAAAATTATACGATCTGCAATGTGTTGATCGCGGAAGAATATTTTACATCATTTTTCAATAATCTTAATAACATTAAAAACAAATTGTATTTATTTACCGACACGATGCGCAGCAGCGGAGTTGGTTTTGTTGTTCTGCAAAGTTAATCTGTAAAATATGAAAGTAAATTTAAATTAGAACTGCGTTCAAAGTATTTGACAAAATATCTGAAATAACTCTCGAATTTCTCTCTATATGAAATCCAGATGCATACAATTAATTACACATGTCATAATAGTTCTATGTCAAAATATAAAGTAAAGTATAATAAAATAATATGTAATTGAAATACAAAAATGACACAACAAAGCACTAGTGTTTGCGTATAAGCCTGTATGTGCTGACTGTTTAGCCCTTATTCCTACGAAATTGTGTCAACACGATCGTACCTGTCGCCGTCACTCCGGAGTGATCGATCGGATACGTACGTGACAACTATCTATTGTTTTTCTTCTTGTCTGACAAAAGTTAATCTCAATCGAGCATGAAACGCGATAGTCGATGCAAAATACAAATTATCAAACACCGCTTCATGCATAATAAACATAAAATAACTTGGCTTTGCAGCTATGTAGATAGAATCGATAACTCATATCACATTTTACTTGCAACTCGATATTGGGCAGCTATTATGTATCTAGCCAAAATAGTATTCCGATTGAAACAATTCAATTTCTTGTCAGTTGTTTTATCATAGATATTTGAATAAATATTTTTACTACTTGAAATCCCTCACAAGAGATAAAATTAATAAAACAATTATTTTTAAAATAAATTATGTAAAAAAATTTTTTAAGTAACTTTATTAAAATATTTCACGTTTATTAAAAGAAAGAAGTTGGGTTTTACTTCTAGCATTTTTTTATTTTCTTTTATTTGCGAATAACATAATAAAAATAAAAAATAATTTGATATCCGAGGACTGATATCACCCTCTCATTGTCAGAGTAATCTTGAGCAGTAAAAAAAATCGTGGCCATGTGTCGCTTACTACAAGATTTTCTATATATTCCCAAAGTATCATAATTGTTCAAATTTTTTGATTAAAATTAAAACTTTTAATTTTTAACCTTTAACTTTGTCATATTTCTCAGACGCATCCTGTTCTATGACAAAAAAGATGTTTAGAAAAAAAAGATCTTTTGCAAAATTGTAATCTCCCTCTGTACAATTATATTATGCCACATATTATTAAAATATATTTTAACAAATAAAATTTCCTGAAAAATATATAGAATAAAAAAAGAGAATTGAATGCGTTTAATAATCTTCCTAATTTTTTATTATGTTTAATTAATCTTATTTGTCTCATTTGTTAATATTTATTTCATTCAAATATTTATGATGTCGCTGTTATTTTGCTCTCTTGCCTTCAATAACACCGAACTCGACGAACCACCACAGAAGACGAAAGTGCTAGCATATATCTTGTTTAGTAGCTTGAAAGATAGCCGAGCCGCGCTTTGTCGTCCTGATAAGAGCCCCAGATGCAATTTTTGTAGGATACGTCTACAAAGCACGCGATGTCGCGCGACACGACGTCTTCGACGGTGTCTTCAGTCTTACCTTGACTATCCGCCCGACGATTGTGGCCACGGCGAACGCGTCGCGAACGAGTTTATTACCGCGTAATTAAGCCGCCCTTGTGTCGCGTTTTTAAATGCGCTTCAAACGCTCCTTCAATCACCTCTTGACATATTATAACTATGTCTTTCTTCTAAAGTATTTTTGCATTTCCACTATTAAATCTTTACTCGCGATATATTCAGGTGAAACTTATCTATTCCTTAACTATTCCTTATCGTGTAATAATTCTCAAAACTAATGGCCACTAGCAGTCCATTGAATGAGCCATCGGAAATGGAAAAATCTTCTGATGATGCCGAAATCGACATTGATATTGATACTCGTAAAACTAGTATATTCACACTTTATGCGAAAATATTTCGACTTCTTCTTACGACACAGACACCGAATTTTAGTCTTCTCAGCAACGAGGCACGTAATAAAGAGCTCGAAAAATTGATATTACCAAGCAATGAAGAGTGGCGTCACCGAGCTTATCACAGTCTCGTTGAGTTACAAAGAGAAAAGGATGCTGAGATCGAAAATAAAAGGTAAGTTGAAAAAAGACTACATATGCACATTTAAAGCAAAAAAAAGAGCGAATTTGGACATCTCAAACAAATCGAACGTAAGAAGTGATCTGTATTATCTAAAAATTTGAACAGTTCGGGTAAAGAAAATCGGAGCAAAAATATATACATCGGAAATACCTTTTTGTTTTTGCGTCTAATTTTACGCAGATGTTAATATCACATTATAAAAAAGTACGAGAAAGATTGAGAGAGAATGAAAAAAATGAATGAATGAATGCTAGAATGCACTGTACGGAAGATTTTCTGTTTGAGGGAGGAAACGGATTCTAAACGGCACATAAGTCGCAAGAAATCGCAGGATTGGGAATGGTGTCCCGACGAAAAGGGGCAACTTCCGAAAGGGAGAAGAGGCGAAAGCGAGGATATCATTGCTTCCTTAAATGCTATATCGGGAACTGGTGGTTCATTGACCGAGGCTTGCATAGAACCAGGCTGGCGTATCAATGATATCCTCTTGGCGGCCAAAGTTCTCCAGAATACGCGGCCCACCCCAATTTATGCCAACGAGGCCGAAATGAGACGCGTCTTTGGTTTAGTATACGACGTACTGAGATGTGAGATACTTTTTTTTTTAATATAAGCAGAAAGACTTTGTATAAAATCAAGAATTAATATTGTCCAATATTGTTGAATCTCGACAATATTTCTACTCTTCAAACGAACGCCAGTAGTATTTGATGCTCCTCATGAATTTAATCTTCTTATGTGCTACTTTTTCATTTGTCCCACTTTCAGAAATAAATCGATTTATCGATTATAATGGATCACCCTGTATATGATACATATGGCATTCTTTCACATATAAAAAAACAAATACAAAAATAAATAGCTTAATTATGATAAGCGTATACACGGTATCCGATCGCACGTTGCAAACTTTACAGACAAGAACATTTTGAATCGTACGCTGGAAGACGGAGGATTTTGGTATGAAAACGGAATTCTCAAATCACGCGAAAGAGTGGTCTGGCTGTTACTCTACGACATGCAGGGAAGAAAATTTGCACGCCAGCGTGACGGAAACGCACTCGAAACTCGAGAGAAGATATTTAAGGTATGTATATTGAAGTCGCGATAGTTTCTCATTCCACTTTCGTTAAATGTTTTGCATTTATGCGTCTTGATATTAGCAACAATGAATCAAACATTTACCTTACGTTTAAAAATAAATAACGTTTTGATTATAAAATTATAAAGTGCTTCAAATTTTTCAGCGATGGTGTATGATATAATTGTATTATCGTAAGAAAATAATTCTCGAACGCAATGACAAAATAATGCAAACATTTTTTAATAACAGAACTGATATATTATATGCTAACAATAACTCTTTTCAGACTGTCGGATTAAAAGACATCGAAGATGCCCTTTTAAGAGCAAAAACGCATTTGGCGGCGAGCATTTCACGTCTTCGTATCGGCGGTTCGGCGCTTAATCTCGGTTATTTTTAATTTCTAATTAAAACTTGCAGGAAAAGAGCTTCTTATAAATAGAATAGCAATATTATTAAAAAAATTGATGGTTGACACGTTATTTTATCCATCCAGACGAGCTTCTCCCAACGTACTTGCGTATCGCTGGAGGCATAAGCTGGTCTAACGAAGGCGCGATCGCTTCCGGATGGATTAACACCATGAAAATACCCACTAAAAACCAATTTGTGGAAGACATGTCAAAGTTGAAATTTGAACTTTGCAATGATAGTGAAGTCGCGGAACTTAACGAGACCAATTATATTTTCGATCCAATTTGCCCGAAGATGATAAATTTGCATGACAAAGCACGAGAGAAACTCGCCGTGTCCGATTTAGTTCGTGATCATCGATTCCTCTTTTTGGTAAATATAACTTGTGCTAGTTTTACTTTTAAATTGTTAATTATTGTAAGAAAAACGCGCGTACAATATAAATTGTCTTCGATTTGAAAATTGAAAATATAGAACTTGATATCGAAAATTGAAAATTAAGGAACACAAAGGTTTTTTTTTAATAATTTAGAGAATTAAAGGAATTGAAATAAATTTGGAAAATTTAGGAAAGATCATTGTGTCTTGGAGCAGCTACATTAGCGCAGGCGATACGTGTCGCACATCTTTGCGGTCCCGTGATTCTTACGCATTCAGTCGCTCCTCGTCATACAAGCTACTTGGCGGGACTTTTGGCAGACATCGAAGAAGCCGGAAGACTATTAGTCTTTGGCGTTGGAGATCGCTGTTACGAGTACAAAACTTACCTCGAAACTTTAGGTCTTACTCTACAACAATGTAGAATTTTTTCAGAAAAGTAAATATGACTAACAATCTCTTTCGTAAATCTATTATTGATATAATTGCCAGTGACAAATCTACATTTTCTATATCTTTTTAGAAAAATGGAAAATTCTTTTCAACCCTTTAATTGTTAAGAAAAAACTTTAATATTAAAAATAATTAAATAAATATCTGTAATTTCGTTACTTTCTTATTTTTGAGACCTTAAATATTTAACAAATGCAAGAAAAAACTGATTTTTTGCATACCTTCTGAAACTTCATTAACGTACTAGTAAATATCGCGTAGTGGATTCGCCACTTGACAATAGCCACTACTTCGAATATATTACGATATTGCGTTTTTCATTGCCAGATACATATCGCCACCGCCGTCCGTCGAACTGGAAAGAGCAACCATCGTTTTAGCGACGCCCCCGTGTAGTTACACTGGCGTCCGGGATATAGTTGATCTTGCTGTAGCCCGCGGCGGTGACACCAGTTTATTAGAATCATTAACCAGCGATACTGCGGGTGAGATCAAACAGCCACGCGCTCTTTTGGCCGAACAATTTTCCACGCTCAAGTACGCGCTGACTAGACCGAACATACAATTTCTAATATACGAGGTGCACACAATTTTGCCGTCCGAGACTACGGAGATGGTTCGACAGGTAGTCGAATATGCTAATCAAATTGCGACGGAGAAGTACATTCGCGAGCATCCCGTGAGCATTTTATATAAATGTTTTTTTTTTTTTAATTTTGTGCAGTTTAAATCCAATTCGTATAATAATTCTTTGTCACAGCCAAAGCGTAAGACTGTACACAAAGACGGTGGTGAAAAAATTGTAAAGACGGGAAAGACTGATAGACAAGAACAATTACGCGAACAGTTGGAGAAGCAATCGCAAATGCAACAGGAACAAACTTTTCCGAGTAAACAGGATGAGAAGGATGAAACGCCGTTAATTACAAATGATATTGTCGTAAGATCATTTATAAATATGTATCTTGAATTATCCTCTTTTGTAAAATTAGGATTTTTTGGAAAATAACTTTTTCGTAATTTTTTGTGCGTTAAATCAGGTTGGATTCGAATTTAACGCATAAAAAACTACGAAAAACTATTCTTTTCTTTTTCAAACAATAGACCCATGCAGAGCAGTGTTGTCTATTGATGTTGAATAACAATATTAGTTATTAATAAAATAAATATTAATAAAATCATCATTAGATCCCCGATAGTGATTTGTTCGAAGTGGGAAGTATCGATGAGATTTACGGCAAAGACAACAGCCAAATGTTAGACCCGGGCTGTTTCATCGCTATAATCAAACGGAAGGAAATGATGCAGTTCGATTCGCTCTTCATGATCAAAGTGGCGGAATCAAAGGGACTGTTCGGCAATCCCGACAAGGAGCGAAGTCCAAAACAGAAAACCGAAATACAACCGCCGCCGTGTCAAATATCGCAAATGAGTCGCAGAAGTTTCAAGCGTGCCAAAGTACTTAATTACATTTTAGACTTACTTATCCGATATGAAACACAATGATACAGGCACAAAAGTTTAAATCTAGAATGTCTATTGTCTGGAGAAATTTATTGATTAATTAAAATGTAAAGTTTCATCGCGTCGAAGTGCTACGAGTCTAACTTGTCTCTGCAAATGTTACAGATCGAAATAGATCGCTTAGCAGCGCCTACGCACTCGTCGATGTCGCGGACTTCGAAGAAGCAAAATCAACCGTGTCCCCGTCACAGTCGATACATCGTTCGAGATAAAAAGTTATTGGCCATGCAGATACGTGAAACGCGAAAGCGAGATGCGCGTCGATGGTGGCAAGACGCGATTGCGGTTTTCGTTCATCCGAAAAAACGCGACTTTGCTCGCGAGTTTCATGCAATGCGCTCGGATCCATTCACGCAAAAACCATTGTATCCTTTTCATGTCAAAAAAATCGTATTGTCGAAGCGCCATCAAGAAAATAACTTGCCAAGCGACTCCGTTTAGAATTTATTTTAATCTTAAAATTTTTATTTTTATTTATCCGATTTAGAATATTAATGTAGTCTCGCGCACGCCATATTAATATTAAATAAAATGGATTATTGTAATTAAATTTTCATCGATTGCTATGACTTTTGTGATCACCGTAAACTCTATTTTTAGAATTATATTTTTTAAGTTGCACTAATTAATTAAAAATCTGTTTGTAAGATACGATTATGCAATTGTTTCTCAGTAAAAATTCATATTTAACTTGTCACAATTGCTTTTGTAACTTAATAATTTCATGAGAATTATAAATGCATTGATTGGAAAATAAATTACCACTCAATTTTCTTATTACTTTAAATGTTAATAAATACTTCTCATTTCAAATTTTTATTTTAGATGAATTCAACTTTGAATTTATTAATCAACTTTTTAACCAACTGATAATTCATTTGAATAGCTCTAGATTTTTTATCAATAGTTATTATATGCAAATATCCAGAAATAATCTGTTTAAAATCTGTATGATTCTTTGCATGATTCGATCTGTCCCTCTGAGAATCCGATATGTTACACTGATAACTTCCCGGCTATATCAAATTTTCATTTCGATTGTCATTTCACGATTAATCGAGTTGCAATGAATGCAATTTATTAATATAGCTTTGGAAATTTGATTGGTTATTTCCAAGGAATAAAAGATTTTAAATGATACACGTGGCTTTCCAATATTATATAAATAATAAATGCGGCCTTTGGCCGCCAGAATTAAGAAGTAAAAAAAAGATGTGTAATACGTTAGCTAAATTGATCGATATAATATATTGAAGATAAAAATTGATTCAAAACCGATATTAAAACGATCTCTAATTGAAGAAACCGCTGATAAAGTTGTCATTTTAACAGCATCGTGTGAAAAATATCTCAAGTATGCATTCAATATTGACAAAGTCAGGATTATCGGCTTACCGAAACGGCGCTAAAATACGATGCAGTCTGCTCGCACATCTTCGCAATGTTAGCAAAGAAGCTGTTGTAGAATCGGTATGATTTGCCAAACGGGACTTACATAGTTTCCCATTCACTTCTCGTTGTCATTTTAACTTGAGCTCTATCTCAGAAATACGATCTTTATCGGCTCGATAAAGGACCGTCTGAAAAATCGACCTTAAATGTGGAAGACGCTACGTACGCTTTGAAGAAAATGAACTACATACGCCGGATGGAGAACAAAGCCGCGGAATTATACAGACAACGGCTTATCAATGGTTTTCTGCACTTATACGTTGGTCAGGTAGACAAGTAACTAAAATTCTGAGTTGAAACAATACGCATAACCGTAATGTAACATTACTGCGTTGAGAGAAGAAGGAGTGTAGGTTTAAAAAAATACTTTTTAATCTAGCTATCCATGTTTCAGCAAATAGAATTGAATTAAATTGTTGAAAAAAATATCAATTTTTGCAATGTCGCTGCAATCTTTCTATATGCAATATATGTGCGGAATGGAAAATAAACGATGTTTGCGTCGTGTAGGAAGCTATAGCCATAGGTCTCAAAATGGCCTTAACAAAACCGGACACCGTTATCACGGCATACAGATGTCACGGTTTTGCCGTTGCATTCGACATCTCGGCTCGCACAATTCTCGCAGAACTTATGGGCCGCAAAACGGGCACGGCGAAAGGCAAGGGCGGTTCCATGCACATGTATGCGCCGCAATTTTACGGTGGTGACGGTATCGTTGGCGGGCAGGTAAATGCATGTTCTTTGCGATCAATCCCGACAGCTGTTAGACAGCTATCGTATCTATTCGAAAACGTTATCGAAATAATTCCATTTCACATCGATCGTTCTATTATTTGGACATTTCGACATAAATTTTCATTGTATTTACATTTATTGAAAGTAAACTCCATCTCAGATTATAATTTCCGATTTCAATGGAACTCATAATGGTTCAATTAAATGTAAAGAAAATTTTTTTAACAGATAAATTTATTCTTACCTGATCGATTAATGTGTATCTTATTCCATAATTAGGTTCCTATCGGTACTGGTATCGCCTTGGCTCACAAGTATAACGGCACAGGCGGTGTGTCCTTCACGTTGTACGGTGACGGTGCAGCGTCGCAGGGTCAGATCTACGAAGCCTGGAATATGGCGAAGCTTTGGAATCTGCCGGCGATCTACATCTGTGAAAATAATAAATACGGTATGGGCACAGCCGTGCATCGACACTCCGCCAATACGGAGCTTTACACACGCGGAGATCTCATACCAGGAATAAAAGTAAAATACAATACACATGAGAAAAATCTGAAAGATTTCTTCTCAAAAGTTTGAGATATTCGGCACAGATGTCATTTTGTATATTTTACATATAGATTTTATATTAATTACATTGCGACTGATTGTACCTCGTGTACAGGTCGATGGAATGAAAATCATGGACGTGCGAGAAGCCGCACGCTTTAGTAGAAACTATGCGCTCAGGAATGGACCGATTGTAATAGAAGTTGTAACTTATCGCTATTTTGGACACAGTATGAGCGATCCTGGTTACAGTTATCGTACCCGAGAAGAGATTAAAGCTATCCAAACCGAGCAAGATCCGATAATGTTGTTCACGAAGCTCGTCATAGAAAAGGGACTTATGACCGAGAAAAAGGTCCAGGTAACTTATGAATAATCTTGAAAATTATATATAAAACATAATTTAATATGTAAGAAACTCTTCAGAATTGCAGTATTCAAGGACAATAAAACAAGTTAATATAAACATAGCGATCTCATCTTATTTGCGAGTTTTCTCAATAAGATCCAAAGTAAAAGTATTAATTGATTGTTCTATTAATTCTATGTATCAAAATATTAAAGTAAGATCGCTAGAAAGACTACGAAATATTTCGTGTATTTCAGTATGTCAGAATATGTGAAACTTTAAACTGTAACTCGGAAATAAGGCGAAATTGAACATGTGTCCGTATGAAGTTATATTACTTTTATTAAATTATATAAAATAATTTATTTATCCTATTTTACTTTTAAGTGTTTAATTAATAATGTTAAGTGTTTAATACATACTTCATGTATTAAGTTAAATTCTTTATTTGTTTGATAAAATAATTAAGAATTGGACCAAAGCACAACAAAAAGAATATTCGAACACGCGCGCAACACGAGAATTACTGTATTATTACTGGCAAAGTAAAAATTATGTCCAAGAATCTTAATGTGCAATTATGACGTAAAATAATGACTGTGTTTTAACCACCTATTGCATGGCCAGAGCATACGAGATACAGCATACAAGCAAGTTGATCAAGAAATGGAGCAAGCCAAGTCCGATCCGTGGCCAGAAATATCAGAAATCTCAAGCAATGTATATGTCAAACCACTGGAGAAGATTCGCGGCAAAATTCCTTGGGAATTATACTAATAAAAACAATATCGTATAATTTTCCATAATTCTCTTGTAATTAAATATTTTTTAATTACGATTAATGTGTTCTTTTTTATAAAATTTGTCAATAAGTGCTGCAGTATACAATTTTTTTTCTACAGAAATCAATGTAAACATAAGAATTATATAACACAAACTAATTACAAAATTGTGCCTAGATTTTGTGTGCGCGGATACTTAGAACAAATAATTAAATAGTCTATAAAATTTTTAATAGTTTTATTAATGTTTTGACATATGACCCTTGCATCCTTAAAACTGATTGTTCTGAATAACGAGTGGCACGAACGGCCAGTGAAATGGTCAAGAGAAACGGACGTAAGCACCGAGAATGAGTCAGATCGTGAACGAGACGTAGGAGAAGCGATGGAGGCAACGCGGAGGGCGAGACGAAGCTGCACGGACGTCTCTGCGGGAGTCGCCTTACATCTCTCGCACGTGTTGCATCGCGCTAATTGAATTCTAACAAGACAGTACAGTCAGTCGGCCGTATTCCAACATATTTACTCACTACGTTCCTTTCGTTTCAACCATGCAGCCGCGATTACGTGTATCTTCAACGTGCGATCATCGATAATACTGTGTTGAGGAACCAGCGAAACTGACAGGTACTGTACTCTTTTTTTTTCGTAGATTTCTTTAGGACACACCATTGTAATTCTATCTTGCAATTTGCGGAAAAGTTTAATTTTACTTCAATGTAATTAAAAGTTTGACATTTAATGATTAAATGCGACGTCTTTCTTGAAAGTTACGGACGACAGTTAGACAGAAGGGGCGGTGCCTGAAAGTTTGCGAACAGGAAAGACAAGTAATATAAGGCGATCAATTATTCTAACGTAATAAAATTGAACAGGCGACGACAAACCTCGGCTGCGTCATCGCCTAAAGCGCTCGAGGAATTTCTCGCTCGCTGATGACAATAACACAATCAAAAAATAACTTTAATGATACCGTCTTAATTACATTTAACGCATTTAGCGCGCGATAAAAAATCGACCGATGATAATCTCTTCCATTTTCTGTTGAAAATAGCTTTATTTCTAAATTTTTGAATTTTACTTTGCACTCTTTACACTCTGATTGTAATCACTAAAAAAAATTCGATTGTAATCACTAAATAGAATTCAAGGGTTTGGCTCTTTTTTCATTTTACTTGATTTCTATAATTCTTAGAGGTTTCTTCCTTTTGGTTTCCATTTTTACAGTTTTATAATTAAATATGTATTAAAATTTCTATATGAAAAACGAATTAACATTTGAAATTTTATCAAGAAAAAATCCATGACAAATTATTTTTATTAAAATACGCGTGGATTAATAGATACATTGTATTTTTCAAAACGAGAAAATGTGAGACGTATCGCCAGTTTGTATGAGTAAACATTTGAATGATTGATAAAGCGTTATCTACAGCGGTGGCACATCCTGTAAGAACTATAGCATCAAGCATCAAGTATCAAATTATATATATAGAAAATAAAAAATCCAGGATTTACAAAATAGAGAGTATCGCTACACTGATTGTGAATAAACATACATAGAAAAATCCACTCTTTCAGAATACAAGCAATATTTGATTTATATAATGTATATAACATATAATTATAATATTTTAGAGACGAGGAGATGCGTGCTGGGACGGAAATAATGCACGAAATCATGTTATCATCATCGTCTGTGCTAGAATCTTTTGGTGGAAAATTTCTAACTTATCTAAGTTGGAAATAATTATTTTTTATCTAAAAATAGTTTTATCCTAAATAGTTACCTAAATAGTTCTCTGAACAACAGCATTATGGATATCGAAACAAGCATCAGCGACATATTGCGTGGTACGTATTTTTTGCTATGAAATTTTAATAAAACAATGATTTTATAAAAAGTCTCCGTGCTTCTTTGTTCGTTTTAAGGATATATGTATCTTATATTACAAAATCGTAAGAATTTTATAATATAATGTTTATTTTCTCCAAGTATCTTTACCTGAACATAATTCTCCGATTGATTTAAAAGTTATTATTTCATGTTTGCATTGGTTCTTATAAAAAAATAGTTATGTGTTGCATTTGTCGACGAATTTGAAAAGAAAAGAAATTGCCAATCAAGTCAGAATTTTCATATACTGACAAATTTCTAAGAAACATTCATACAATATTTTCTTTGGAAACTTATTGACTAGTTTAAAACTTACTTGCCCTAACTCGGCTGTTTTATTTTATTTTTTTTTTTTTTAATTAAATTCTGTTGATAGAAGTGATAAAATTTTTGGAATGCCTCCACGATGTGAAACTTCCCCTCGCGCAGGAGAGCCTGCGGCAAAAACTGGTAATGATTTTGAAGAATAAACTCACAACGATGACACGAGTGTCACCGGAACCTTACTTGAATATGGTTCCCGGCCCCAAAAGCCTATTACAACACACACTGCCGAAAAGCGAAACCGATTCGGAAGATTACGTAGAACCATCTCAAAAGCAGATCAAAATTCCGATCGGGGCAGATCAGAATTATTATGAGCGTGTTGGAGCTAACAGCCAAATCGTCGCAACGGTTGCAAGCGAGTCCTCCGAGCGAAGTGACGATCAGGACGAAAATCGAAGATTGATCGAAATCTACAAAAACTTATCAGCGACACAGGCTAAAGGCAAATGCCACAAATGCGGTCCGCTGCACCGAAAGGAGGGGAAAAAGCTGTTCTTATCGGAAAGTCGCGCCTGCTGGATCGCATTAGTCGGATCGCATTTGCTGATCTACCGAAACGAGAAGACGAGCCGGCCTCACGCAATTTATCCCGTACGCTGTTACATGGCTCGACCGGCGCCCAACTTGATTCCTCGCGATCGACAGAAAAGTGAATCGGCTTTCGAGATATACAGTCCCGGGAGTGAGACGTTACAGTTTATCGCGAGAACGCCAAAGGACATGGATCAATGGATAGCGAAAATCTGCGAAGTGGGACACGACAACGAAAACGAGAAAGGTGTGGCAGAAGTCTGCAAGAAGAAACACGCTGCCGTTGAATCCCAGACAAATCCAGACGAGACGGTGAGAGACGCGAAAAAGTCAACTGATAAGCCAACCAAAATAGATACGACGAGTGATAAGAAGGAAGTTGAGCGAAAAGATATAAACGAAAATCCGCCGCCGCTACCTGCCCGAATACCACGAAGACTTCCTTCCTTGCCTTCCGATGACGCAATAGCTTCCTACAAACCAGCCGCCAAGGATGACGATGACGAAGATGACATTTATCACAAAATCGAAGACTTGAAAAATGGGACGTGCTATCAAAATGTAGCACTGCCGAAAACACAATCCGACGCTAACGACAAGAAACACGAAACGACGTATGATGACATTCGTTCGTCCAAAGAGAAAAATCAGGAGCAAGTTTTCCTGGAAGAAACCACCCACGACACGACACCGCCTGAGGAGGAGTTGTACGACGATATTGGTACAATTTCGCGAACGGGAAATGTTATCACGGGCGCTCTTCCTGTACAACAAATCCGGAATAGCGATCGACCAGTCGCCGATGGTGAAAAGAAACGAGAAGAATTTTACGACGATGTGGACGTAAGTCGCTCTTTATTTCTCAATTATCAAATAACGCAAATTTCTTTAAAGTAATGTAACAGACTTTTCTCTCAATTTGTAAATCAAAACTCATTTCGAAAATGTCTCAACACAGAACCTGATTCCAAACGAAAGATTCATCAAAGATCGCGCAAAGAATCAAACTGAAGCGAGTAAGTTTCTCCAAAAGAAATCCTTCCTGGATAGAGTCCTGAGCAGAAAGGAATCGTCTGGCAAATTGGATAAGAAATACAAAAGCAAAGTTTCGAGTCTACCGTCGCCCTCAACTACGGAGAAAACGCCAACCTGCATCGACGCGTCCAATTTGACGCCGAATCAGGAATCGTTAGCGGAGGAGAGAGAGGAATTACCAGAATACAATTGTCCTCCGCCACCCAGACCAATTTACACAAAATCGTTAAATAATCCCAATCGAGTCGAAGAATTTTACGACGATGTCAGCGCCTGCCGAGAGCAGTACAACAAAAGTCGGGTAACGTCCTTTCACAAACTTAAATTTCGTTTAATATTTTAATTGATCAAAATTTAATGAAAATTCTCTTTTTTAGCCAACAATTCCAGAATCAATGCTGGAAGGAGAAGCGAAAAAAATTGTAAACAATACAACGTGTAACGCGGAGTCAAAAGATGAATCTTCTCAAGAAGAGATTCTGCATTATCAGTCACCAAGGAGTGACTTGCGCATTCCCGACGCTGCAGAAGTTCAACCGAATGAAGAATTGTACGATGACATAGCGCTGTTGGCTGATTTTACCGCACGACAAAGAGACAATATTAGAAAGAAAGACGGTGAAGATGCTAAATCGATAATCGCTCCCGATAAGAAGTCGTGGAATCGGTTTGTTAATAAAAAATTACGAGCAAGCGATTCCAATTGTTCTGAGATAAATAGACCAAATAGCGAGTGTGAGGAGTCCGAGGATTCGTCCGAGAATAATAGTGTGATCAAGAGAAATACCTTTCAGAAGTTGATTAACAGAATGGAAAATTCTCTCGCTAAAGTTTCCGCGAGAAACTCACCTTCGCTCCCGCCCAGTCAGTCGAGCACAACGAATAACAATTCTTGAACTATTGTATATTAACGTAAAATGCAGCCTCTACATATCTAAAGCAAAAAGAATATCGAAATATAATTTTGCTATCAATTCTATACAATAAAAGTATTATTTACGCCTTTATTCTTAGAAACCGCATTGTTAAAAATTTCTACTTATACCGGCAAGTCTGTTTAACAAGAGCGTGTACGGTGGAACTCGAAAACGATTTGGGATAATAAATTGAAAGAAAATCCACACATTATGCATAATATAGATTGTGATGCTTTATTATTAGTAAGTTGTCCAGTCACCTCCGTTATCAATAATTGTCTGGCATCTCCGAGACATATTTTCTACTAATTTTATAGCATAATCTTGAGGCAAAAACCTCCATATAAATTGAATCTGTCGAACTAACTGCTTGACGGTCCAGATCTTTTTTCCTCGAAGCTTAAACTTCATGAGCGCCCAAACATTTTCTATGGGATTTACATCTGGTGAATGTAACGGCCAATCTAGTACGTCAACGTCATTTTCTTGTTTCCATGCAGTACAAAGACTATTCCGATGTTTTGGATTATTGCCCTCTTGCAGTAGCCAGTTTTCCTTTGTAAACCACTTTTGGACAGATGGTAATAAAGCTCTTTGATATATTTTGACCATTTTGGCAGCGTTCAAATTGTCTGTGAAGATGTGCAAAGTGCCAAATCCCTGCTTTGAGAAACAGCCCCAGACGTGCACTTTTACCGAATGTTTAACGGTCCGCTGGATGAGTATATTGGCGTGGGTAGACCAGGCATGACTGATAGAACAATTTGCCCAAAAAGAAGCTTCGTTCGAAAAAATTACGTTGTCCCAATCGCGGTCTAAATTTTCTTTCGCCCAAGCGACTCTTTTTTCGACGTATTTTTCAGATAGTAGCGGTTTCTTTATTGTGCTTCGAAATTTTACTTCATGAGCTAGTAAACGTCTTCTTATAGTGTCATATGACACATTTAGACCCTTTTTACACAAAACCGTTTGCCCGCCACGCAATGATAAACGAGGATTTTTCTCAAACACCCGTAAAATCATCCTGTCATCATTTTTCCGTCGTTTTTTGCACAGAGCCACGATCCGGCAGGTCATCAACGTGTTTTACGTCAGAATAGCGTTTCACCCACTTACTTACAAATGTCTTCGACCTTTTCATATACTTAGCAGCCGCTCCGTATGACATTTTCGGTCCTTTCGGATGTAAACACAGAAACACGGCTTCGTAACGTGATACGTACGCGGCACTCATGGTGAAATATGTCCTTTTATGACTAAGGTCGAACGACAACTGAGGCTTCCTATACAAAGCATTTTGCGAGAAGAGTCACGCAGCGTGATGCGATATCTACTACCGGGCTCGCGGCTCTCGAGCCCCAACACAAGTAAGAAGCGCTTACGTCACGCGTCTGTGTGCGCTCGGCCGTTCGGCTATAGAGAGAGAGCGGACGTCTCTGTCTTGCTACCATCGAGCCGACGTAAACACATTGCGGACGGCAAATGCTCAGAAACAAGCGCTTTTAATCGAGTAAGGCGAGTAAGGCCTAGCAAATTCGAAATCCCGTATTCGAGACTTGATTTTTGCTAACTTTTTTTTTTCTTTTTCCACATTTGTTTCTAACAATGTAAGTTAGTTAATAATGTTTTTTTGGCTAAAAAATATTATTTTGTATATTAATAATATATTTGCATATGTTAAATTAATAACTAATTATTTTAAAAAAGAATACTGATTTGCTATTATAAATAGAAAAATGAAGTCATTTTACAACATACATATTGCAACAAAGTGCAATTTAACATGTGCAATTATTGTTAATAAATATAAAATAATATTTTTTAACCAAAAGCATTATCTAATGATTCACTTGATGGTACAGTGCTAGAAACAAATATCGAAAAAGAAAAAAAATGTTACAAAAGCAGTTTTCAAACACAAGATTTTCAATATTCCTGCCACTCGCCTTAATCGATTAGCCACGCTTCTTAACATTTATCTCTATCAAAAGATTACACACCTGGAAAATTTTTAACTATTTATTTTTAATTACTGCATATTAGCAAGAGTTACTGTACTGTGGAGATTAGTGGAGAAACGGTAACATACAATGCAGTCAAATACATCTTACAAATGCAGTCAAATAGATCAAAGATTTATTGCACTCTTGTTAGCATGTTAAAGTATGTGTAGCGTATTATTAGTTCATTAGTAATTTTAAGTGTTTATAATAGTCGTCTTCCACACCACTTTTGAGGTTCCACTAACTAGGCACGTTCGATTTTTATTAAGTGAATCGTCGCCTGGAGCCATCTTGTCAAACAAATTGTATATAAGAATGCTAATCGATTATTTTTTTAATTTTATATGCAGATATTAAGATAGAATTAAAAAGTAAATACTTTACCGAATATTTCATATTTGATGTCGGGATATGTGCAACTTTAAAAAGACTGTAATTCAAAAACAAAGCAAAATCGTCCACAGTTGTGACAGCTAAGCAACCATCGCAAAATGACAGTTGATAGTGCTGCACCCTGCAGTTGTACCTAAATCTGAATAAACTTCCACTTCCGGTAAAATCGAAGATGCATCCTGGTGGCCGCTTCGCGCAACACAGTGCAGCAGCTGATGCGTAAAAATGGCCGGCACCGATATAAACGATACAAATGGATAAATTTCAGTATTTAATATCACGCGATTAATATGAAGGTGAGAGTGTTGAAACTGCAGTCTGAATCGTACTCGCATGTGTCACGTACTTTTATCTTACAAAACAGTCTCTCCAGATGGATTGAAAGATCTATCTTCGGCATGAAGCGCAATCGCAGGTGAGAAACATCATTTGACCAGACATACACTCGTTGACAGTTCGATGATGCCGATACGTTTGTTTTGTCAAAAGCAAAAAGAGATGAGCGTAGTGAAACAATGCAAAAGAAACCGATGATTATTATTTCCACAATGATACTCGTAGATAGCTGTGTAAGACATTTGTTCAATATTTTAAGTGACATTTACGCATTCAAACATGTTAGCGCAAATTGGCTAAATGACTTTGTTGCACAATTTGTTAAAATAAATAAATGTGAAATCTTAGAATATAAATTCTTAGCAATATATTTGTGCCAATTTATCTCTGTTGAGTACAAACACCTTTTCACACATCATAATAGTAATAATGCTTCTCTTAATTTTTTTTCTCTTTTTTTTTAAGACAGCAATGTTGTAAATACTGTAGAAATCATAGACATTATATGTACCATTGTGATTAGGGTTAGAAGCTCCAGTGGTGGATATCAACACCCTTTTAATAGCTGTTGATAATATAATGGCCTACGACTCATCTAACGTGAAATATTCGCCGAATACTCGCACCCATCAGCCTACTCGGTCCAACATGACTGGATACGCTTATTCCAGCCATCAGCCGCAACATTTTCAACAAACTGACGAGAACAGAAATGAGAACAATTTGTGCAGTACCAAAGAACTCTGTCTGCAGGTCTCGCAACAGTCATCCAGCACTCAGACTGTACAGAAAGTGGATGCTGCAACTATGACAGATCCTTTACAAATCGATTTTAGACTTACTTCTGAGTACTTAGCACGTTGTTCTGGTACATTGGGTTTACCTAATATTACCAAATATGAAGACAATAGTGATTCTCCACAAACTTGTCAAGGAATAAGACCAAAAATTGAATTTGAGATTGAACCACAGCATATTAATGGTAAATTGCTACTCATTAAAATAACCTTTGGTAATCTTGTCAATAATTTATAATTGTAAATGGCGAAATATTTATCAAAATGATGTGCTGTTAACTTCGTGCATATTCTATTGGATTGTTCAAAAAGTTTTCTAGTTTTTAAAATTTTATTTTTATAAAAAACTAGAAAACTCCGAACAATCCAATCATTAAAAATTCTATTTAACATAATTCTCTGTTTATAAGGTATGTTGGTTTATCATTGCCCAGAGTGTGCATATAGATTTGAAGATCGAGAAGCGCTTCACGAACATTTGGAAGATCACAAACAGAGACCACATATCTGTGATATTTGCGGAGCGAGTTTGAAACGCAAGGAACACTTGGATCGTCATAAGCAAGGTCACAATAAAGACAGGCCTTACCAATGTAATATGTGTTGTAAAGCATTTAAACGTAATGAACACTTAGCACGTCACATGATCACTCATTCAGGTAGCAAAAATCAAATATGTACAGAGTGTGGCAAAGCCTTCTATAGAAAAGATCATTTAAAGAAACATCTGCAGAGTCACAATAGTAGTCGAAGCAAACATTTGAATATCTCGCAAAACAATCAGAACGACCAGCAGCCGAGCAACGAAGAGCTAAGTAGTTTCGCGATGATAATGCGACAGACTGGGCCTCCCCCATTTTCGATTTTACGAACTTAGTTATTATACTATAATGACTGTAACATATATTCTTGTCTCTGTCTATAAGTGAGACAGTCTTATTATATAAATAATATATATAATTTCAAGATTTAATATAATATAAATGAGCTTTGTCTATAGTATATTTAATTTTGCGAAGTAATCGAAAATAATTGTTAATAATATTAATAATAAAGAATCCATGTTCCTAAGGGAGTATATCTTATTGCCATGTATTTTGTTAACAGGCAGGCAATTTTATAATGTCCCTTGTAATGCTAAGAAATTATTTGTATATTAAGAATGTACCTGGCGGAGGATTCTTTGAAACTCGAATAAGTTTGCGTTGAAATTCGAAATGTGATCGACCACCATCAATGATATACGCACAGCATTATTTTGCTTATTCTTTAAAAAAAAATGTTGACCTAAAAAATTTAAAATATCTGATGAATTTTGTTTTCGATGAATCACACGATATCAACAGTCAGAACAAAGATTATTTTACTAACGAACTGTAATCTTCTGAATACAATTGAATCTCATCGTAAAGCATGGTAAATCTTGACGCAACACCAACCGTTTTCCTAAATGAAAGAAAAAATAATGTCAATAAATACAGCGCAATAATGCCACTGTAAAAAAGATTTTTAATTCTTAATTTTGCTGATTTATTTTCTCGTGATTTGTCTCGTATTTGAAATAAGAAATCAAAATAGTTCCCATCAAGTTGGAGACTAATTAGCGTAAAAGTGTAAGATGCTAATATTGTAAAAATAAAAATCCGCAATTTTTTTCCATTGCGGATCATTAAACGTTTTCATCGAAATATATAGAATAACTTGTAGAATAATTTTGGCACAGGATTAATAAGGTGTTAATAGCATAATATCTTTGATTGTAGCAAGACTATTAACAATTATTAGTACACTCAAAACAAAATATGGAAACATGTCGTCCACGTGGATTCACTGATGCATATCTGTAGATAAATTTTATCGTTATTCAAGAAGACGGTTTATAGTTCACGATATCGTTAAAGTTTCGTGTGGTGAAATCTTGTTAATATATCTATATGATGATTCTCGTTTTATTGATCTGGAGAAAATATATGTAGAAACATTCAGGAGACTGTTCTCTCCCGAAGACACAAAATGTAAACGTTAATTCTTCCATCTCCAATGTGATGACATATTCATTCCAAGTTGAGCTCCAGATACATTTAATTATATTTATATGAAAATTTATAATATTTTACTGGCATTTTCTTATTATAAATTAGGTTGCACTCTTGTACATCCACACAAATGTAATTATATAAATAAATGAATGAATGATTAAACATTGCAAAAGGCTAAATGATTAAGCAAATCTGAATAAGACGAGGGCTGACAAATCAAAAATAAGATCTTATTTAAATAAATGATTCTTATATAAAAATATCTACCCCTTATGTGTATGTCTATATAATACAATTCAATGCAAAAACAAATACTCAAATCGATCAACAATTTCACATGCGCAAAAATAAAAAAGATAAAAATATCGTAAGCTTGAGATAGAGAGAAAGAGAGAGTTGATTCTTTTCTTGGGTAATGGCGAATAATAAACCTCCCTATATAACTTTTCTTACAATTAATATACATGTATGTAATAAATTGTAAGAAGAACTATACCTGTGCAATTTTTTTATGAATGCATACTATGTGCGTGCGTGCGTTGTACATGCGTGAGTGCGTGTATATATACATAATATAATAATATAACTTATAGAACATATTACATACAAAGCATGTTATATGAAGTGTCTGAAAAATGCGCGTACATTTTAAGCTTCTATTTTCGAGGTCTAAATTTATTGGCATCTACTTAATACATTATACGTCTTTCTAAGTATTTTTCTTTTGTTTTTAATTATGTACACGTTTCTTCACCCATCTATCCAATTTTCTCGCGTTCTTAAAATCGATACACAATTTTTAAATATTTTATATAAAAATAAAACATTAACATTGTCAGAGGAAAGTTATACATACTTCTCTTGCTTTTGACATATTTATTTCAGCCTTTCTATTTTCTTCTTTTTTGTGTCCATTCATCTTGCATTAGTTTTTAATTCACGCACGACGAACAATCAGTATTTTTGTACCCTGAAAGACTGTGGTACAAATCAGCTAAGAATCTGGCAACGTGAAATTAATCTTAGAAAACGTAAGTTGAATAATTTCAATGAAAGAACCGACTGATTTAGGTAAGAAAATTTAGCGAGATCGCCACTGCCATTCAGCAATTTACCGGAAGTCCTCGAAGTTTTTTCGCTTTTGCATAATGTATTAAAATGCATAAAATATTTATCTATAGAAATTTTACCATCTTATATCTAGAAACACCTCTGTAACGAAAAATAAAAGAAAAGAAAATGAAATAGGAAGGCTATGTGGATGAGAATTAAGACGAAAAAATTTACAGAAGTTGTATTTAAAACTTGTTTCGAAACTACAAATTAAATCGAGCATATTTACTGGATGTATTGCACTATGAAGACTCGCCTATATTCGTGTTAGGCATCTTATTGTAAAAGTATCGTCGAGTAAACTATTCATTAATCTATTCTCAATTACGACGAAAATACATCTCACAAAGATTTCTTCTCGCTCGAGGAAAGCATTGTCCGAAAGAAAGGCTTTATTTCCACGGAAAGACAATACCGCCGTTGGACGAAAAGGAAATTTGCACTTCGAGGCCAGCCGGTTATTTCTCTCGTATGACTTCACATATCTTGCATCGCGTACCTAATCTCTATTTGAGGAAAAACAAGAATCTGAGCGTTTGTACTATGTTGAGGAATTTGTATGTCTTTCCGTCGTCGATCGCCTGTTAACATATTTGTCGGAAACTCTGCAGTTTACATACGCAATCACGCATACATTCGTAGCACACACGCAATAAGAGGCGCCGATTAGACAAATCAAAAGAATTAAATCATAATCTGCTGGCGATCCCTCATTAAACGCACGACAGCGACGCGCATTGATTCATGCAAAATTGTTCTCTCAGTTGTGTAATAGATTCCGCAATAAATGTTGCGTTGTAAAACCTATAAAGAATAAACAGACAAATAATTATGTAATGAAAATAATATCGTGAGCAAACTATATTTAAAAAGGCGTGTAATTATATAATAAAAATAAGAAGCGTAACGTGTTTTTGTCTAATTTTTATTTTGCATGAACCAATTGGTAATTACACTTGCATTCGAGATACTTGCATCTTGCGACGAGACATCGATCAAATTCACTTTTCTTTCCCTTTTGCTCTATGGTTTAATACAGATAATTAAAAATTTCGACAATGCATAGAAAAATATGGTTTTCATTGCCATCTCTGCTCCTGAGAGATTCACATTCGAGTTACATCGAGGTGTTATGTTTTCTTTTAGATTTTTCCGCCACCTTTGTTGAGTAATCGTGTTAATGTTGAATCGCTAATTTAAAAAGTAGCTCTTTACATTATCTACCGTTCAACATTCGATGCTCGGAACAAATTAATAGCTTAAAGTTAACAAATAGATAAAGGCCAATAAAGAATATATTTTTAAAGATATAAATGCGTTTGCAAGAAACAGAAAGTTCATATTCAATTATGTATAAATATCCTTGTTTCGAGCAACGATTACAGAAAATTACTAAATAAGACTTACATATAAATATTACAAAATAGTAAATTATCACACAATCGTAGAGACATAAAAAATCGCATATTAACATATGATTCGTCGTCGAATGGAAGTCGTTGCCAACTCGAGAAGTCGCTTACAGCTTTCTGGGGTTTCGCATAAAATTATTAAGCGCGTCGCACAAGAGAATCGGATCTTGTTTTCTCCCCGTGTTAATTCTATTCCTCTTACTATTATCACTATTATTATTAACATTATTATTATTATTAATATTATTATTATTGTTGCTGTTATTAATATCATTATTATGATTATTGTTATTACTATGAATTTATTATCAATAATATTCTTATTGTTATTAGTATATCTTCTATAAAATCCATATTCTTAATTAACCGCTTCTAGTCGAGGCGAAGGAGAATCAAGTCTAATTGATATCTCCAGTTTGATCAAAACCGAACGAGCGCGCCCAACAATACCTTTTACAAAACAATAGCATCTTTTTTAATAATCCCAATCCTTTTTCGCGTTATCTGAAATCGATAGAATCGGGAAAAGAAAACATTACGTTGTTTTTTTTTTTTTGGTAACAAAAGACATCTTTTTTAGAATTTTTATTCCCTATCGATTTGATATTTATTCCTTTTGTCTTTCAAATTATCTCTCCTAATCAGTCTCTCCTAATTATATCGAAAAAAAATCAATGAAACATCCCGCACAAAGAGACATAAGATATATTTTATGAAATCAACAGCGGCATATTGTAATTCACTCAAGTTGTTTCGGAAAATGTTTGATGCAATCATAAAAAAGGTATATAGTCGTTTAAGTGTGAAACTGAAACGTCGGCTGCTCGAACGACATGGAGGCGGACAAGTGTGCACGCAGTTCCAAAAACAGAGAGGCACAACGAGCTGCTTTTCAGATCTTAAACTTTACGATGGAAAACTATATAGGTGCGGAAAATCCAGCGCAATACAAAGGCACCGGAAAAGTATTTTCTCTTCTTTAGAAACGCATCAACTATTATTTTTCCCTTTTTCTACAGGAACATCACTACATCTATATAGCTCGACGAAACGGTCGGTTCTATTAAGCCATAAGAATCAACTGTTCGCCTCGTCGAGAGTTCTTTTTTTCAGCTATCCTTCAAAATAGACCATCTTGAGCCACTCATTTGTTTGAACAGTCGAAGACGTATGTCGAACTTTGGAAATATCTGCTTCTCCCTCTCACCCGCTCTCCTGTCACCGCCTTTCTCTCATGTAAATCGTAAAGCTATTCCTCATTATCTTTTACCATTATTTGTATATAGTCCACCTAAAACTGTAAAAAACAAATTACTTTCCTCAAGATTTATATCGACGTTCGCATATTTTCGCCCATTTCCTCCGGTGTGTACTGTGTACGAAAAATCTCGCGCTCTTCCCAAAGCTATCTACTTTTCTTTGATGAAATACATAATATTTACGGCATCTTTTTAACTTGTTTAACTTTGACATATTGATAATTAAAACATAAATAAAAAAAATTATTAATGTCTGCATTGCGTAATATGCGGAAAGCTTCGTTTCCAATAAGAGTGTTATTTATTTTCTCAATTGCTTATACGTCAAAAATTACCGTAAACATGTTCACACAAAAATTGACGTTTGCGTTAAAATAAAAATACGCGATATTCGACACTTATGTACATTTTTTCATTTCCTTCCTTTGCTTCTGCCTTATGGTATATAGTATATTTTGTATACAAACTTACTCGCTAATGTACAATCTAAGACATACTCCTTGGCTTGATAGTTACAAATACGTGGCAATGAAATATCTTAATATAAATCGATTTTTTTCGGCTCGATATACGGCTTTTAATATACATGTATATATATCCATGTATGTAATTTTAGTATACCATTATATACTTGAGGTCTGACAAAACCTGAATTTTCTGTGTTTTGTGTCAGAACGTTTTATGCTAGAGATATGATGCGAAAAAGTAAGTAAAGTTAAAAAAAAAAATTATTCTGAATAAATTTTGATAGGTGTTTTTGTGAAAAAAAATGTAAGCATAGCTGAACATATTTACTATAGTATTTTATTAAAGAAAAATGTCAAAAATGTAACTTTAAATACTCGAGAAGACACAATGGCCAATAAAAAAATAATAAAAAATGTTTTGCAATATGTATTAATAAATAATAATGCTATAGAATAAATATGATTAAATTATAAGATTACATGCAAAAATCCTTTACAAAATGTTATATCTATTCCTTCCAGCGAATAGCAATGAATAAATACAATTATATAAAATTTTTAGTTCTGCAACATCCCATCATATTTCTAACATTTTACGTTGCAATATGTATACTTATATAATATATAGATATCATTTTACAATAATATCTACAGATATATGAAGATAAATAATAATAATAACGATGTGTTAATAATGACAATGAGAAGAAAAAAAAATGATAATAAAAATGGAACTCGTAATAATGATAATAAAAAATATCTAAAAATAAAAAAAAAACGGGCTGATCCGAGCCATTAATAAAATTGCTCGTATGAGAAATAATGTTTATTCAAGAAAATCATACAGTTATAAAAAATATATATATACTGTGATACATATACATATATATCACAATATGTATAACTATAAAACAAATATCAGCATGGCAAGAAAAAAATCTTAAAAAATAAATTTAAAAACGATGGCACAAACATTAATATCAAAATAAGGCCAAAGCATATAAACTTAAAGGGCAGTTTGATTATTATAGCAGATACCCTCTGTCGAAAACAATCACAGTCCGTGAAAATTTGCGATAAGTGGATAAGTATATAAAACATTAAAAAATAGTTCACAGTTTAAAAAACCATAATATACGTTGTATCTATGAAATAAATCTTATATATATATATAATCAGTACTCAACGAATGTAACGAATATAAGAAGTCCAACGAAAAATATTTATAAAAACAATGTAAAAAAGTCATATAAAAATTATAAAGGCTAATCAAGCTTTTGCAAGACAAATATTCAGTACGATAAGTTGCGATTGAGACGTAACGACGCATTTTTGACCCCGAACCAATCTGGGCGAATAATGCTCCCATGCAAATGTTATACATAAATCGTGCGTAATGTATATATTGTATACGAGATGTTTCATCTAACTTGACCATGCAGAATATCTTCTGAAGTATTCAAGTAAGGATGTCGAGTCAAATAATTTCTTTCCTTACTCATTTTTTGCACAGCATTAAAAATAACAGAGACATTTCAGATGGTCGAGCTAAGTTAAAAGTACTCGGCATATATACAATGTATACAATAGTAATATAAAAATTTAGGTACTATATCGTAAAATATAAAATACTATCAACTTTATACATAAAAGGAACAAAAAGTTTTAACGAAATAAAATATAATTTTTACCGCGAAATATTGTTACGTATTTGCCAGTTCTTCAATACAGGGCATAGCCGTAAAATTTTATAATTTAATATAAGTTATCCTTTGGATGCACATTAAAAAGTCGAGTGAATGGCATGCTTTAGGAAAACGAAAGACATTGTTTTTTAATCGGTGGACCGACTCGTCATCTACATTATTAGGAATATCACTATGCGTAATTTCTATTCCCTTTACACTATTTGCACTTGTAATGTCATTCAACAAGAAATGATAAAAACATTCACAACCACCACCGAAAATCATGAAATCCACGTAAAATTTTAACGCGATGATATTAAAAAAAAATAAAGAAGTGTCGTTCTTTCTCTCTCTCGCTCTTGCGCTCTCTCTCTTTCTCTCTCTCTCATTTATCAGCTTACTTTCTACATTAACACTGACTTTTCATAAAAATATCTTTTTTCCTCGTCGTTCACGACGTATGGCAAGAATCTTTGACTTATAGTCAAACTTCTACTCTAGAGTTCCTGTGGAAAATTAATATTTTTCTCCCACATGTGTACTTTTGTTTGTGCTACAAAGAGCATATAGCTTCTATGTCTCTGTTTTATCCCTTATATACTATTATTTCGAAAAAAAGCTTTTTTTCTCTTTAAAAGATACGTTTTAACATCTCGCGAAGCTGTTGCTATATGCTACATTATATATTATATTTGACGCGAGACTCTACCGCGTCTCTTGATGTATAGCAACTTTATGGTGAGAATAATACTGGCAACGAAAATTACAGGACAAATATAACAAGTCGTTAAGTAGAATAACTTATAGAAGATTTATAGAAAAGGAATGACATAGGCATTCCTATTGTATCGGCAAGACGAGACATAGGAAGCTTTGAAGCACGTAATTAATGCAAATACAATTATATAAAACTCACTAAATCCAAATCATGGGTCAGTCAGAGCTAGTCATCGACGATGACGACAATGACGACGATCAGTTCACATTTTGGTGTTACCTCTTCGTCGAGGTCTTCTCCTTATCTCAGAAATCTTTGACGTGTCCCAAAAAGCTAAGCTCGTGCGACTGATAATGACCAGATGTAGCGAGCGGCGTGACGCTCGATTGATGCGCTACATTAACCGCCGTAAGATGATGATGATGATGCAATGAATGATGCGAAGTATGCGTGTGAAGAATATTGTTTGGATGGGGAACCTGAAAGTTCCCTGGTGGCGGGGCTCAGGACAGGAGAGGACCCGGATGCCCGCCTGGAAGAACAGACGACGCCGAAACGGTTGTTGTTTGCATACTCGAAACGTTGTTTTGTTGTTGATTCTGTTGTGTACCTAAGGCATAGAAAATTGATGATATAGCACAAGAGACGCGAAAAATAGCTAAATCGAAGAAAAGATGTATTAAATATATTAGATTATTTGGAAAGTGTTCCTTTTTTTTTAGACGTTTAGCGGTAACGATTAATCATAGAAAAAATTAGAAAATTTTCCGGACAATCCAATATATTATTTCCAAGAGCAAAATCCTCATAATTAAAAAAAAAAAACCCCATACAGCCTTCTAAAGATCTTTAAAAAGCAAGTGAGTTTTTTGACGATTCAATTCCAACTTAGAACTTAAATATGCGACAAAGTGAAATTCTGAGGAGAAATCGAAATCAGCAGAAAATTGAAAAATCAGTTTCCTAGTTTCTAAAAATTAATTATTTAAGCGCCGTTTAATATGCATGATAAACTGCTCACCGGCGTTTTGACTTAATTCAGCTTTCACTCTTCTCGCGATGTGACTTCTGGTGTGTTTTCGTAAATGATCTTTCCGATAAAATCCTTTGCCGCATTCGGTGCACACGTGCCGCTTCTCACCGGAATGTATTACAAAATGTAACGTCAATTGTTCCTTTCTCTTAAAAGCCTTCAAGCAAACAGTGCAAACATAAGGTCGCTCAGGATTGTGGCTCTGTTTATGACGTGTAAGATGGTCTTTTCGCTTCAAGCCAGCACCGCATATGTCGCAGACGAATCTTCTTTCTAAGGTGTGACCCAAAAGATGCTGCTCCAACAATTCTCGTTCCGGATACGCCATATGACACTCTGGGCAGCAATACAACGTCGAACCGTCCAATGCCGTCGTGAGACGAATTTCGCCGGGTTTCGGACGCGGCTTCTTCTCCTTCGGCGTCTTCTTCTTTTTCTTTTTTTTATTATTCGGAGACATCATTATGTTAGGCGTTGTTGTAGTCGCCACAGCCACCGAGGTCGTTTGCGCCATTTCCGACTCCTTTTTGATACTTTCGGCGGAATATTTGAGAAAGTGGTGCAAGCTTAGTGGTAAAGTACTAGCTGGCAAATGACTGAGATAATCGGCCACGGTGGATCCAGGAGTGGCGAGAGACTGCCATGTAGCAGGCATAGTAGCTGGTGTTTGCGTATGAGCGTGCTGCTGATGATGTTGATGCATCGTGTAATCGTGTTGAGTACCGTTTGTGGCAGTCTCAACGCCATTACGTTGTTCCTCCGCTTTCTTTTCCTTGTTCTTGTCCTTATCCTGAAGGAGATTGCAAACGTCTTGTTGATTTATAGTTTCCGTGGATTGCTGCAAAACAAAAAGTGGAGAAAAATATATTACAATTCAAAAGTTTGATACAAATATTACAAGTTATTTTGTTAAATTTGTAAAATATGTGTACAAGCTGCTTCCATCTCTATAACAATTATCAATCTGTCACTGAGTTCATATTTGAGACAAATGTAGATGTGAGAAAGGAATGTGAAATATGATTAATGCCTCTCTCTAATCCACAGTTACACTGGGAAACTATTCAGCGAGAAGAGGAGAAAAGCGAAGAAGAGATTCACGAAAATCACTTTACCTGATGATATGAGCGTTTTTCTTGCATTCCAGGCGAGTTGGCGGGCCGTTGTTGAACAGACTGGGCCTGAGAATACGGCACATTCGGATAATGATGAACATTACTGTTGGAATAATTGGTCTTATTGTTCATCATCACTTGCGATTGAGCGGATTGCACGCTGTTGTTCTCGGGACGGTACTTTCCCATAACCGGCACTCCGATCGGAGGCTGGTTGGGAAAATGATTAGCGTAACGCGCACCCGCACCGCTGGAGCTGTCGGTCGCGAACTGATGGATACTCGGTATCGTGCTGGGGAAATGACCTCCGAACGGCGGGAAATTCATTGCAGACCGTCAGTAGAATTCATGCACCTGAAAGTAAGAAAGAAACAGGCATCTTAGTGGAGCTGCCGAATGACACGACGCGCAAAACTCACTTTAAGGAACAAACTTTACGAAGCAGGACAGAAGGAAGATAACGAATGGATCGTAAAAGACGAGTCTTTCTTGATTCGACCGAGGGAGCGAGCGAGGTGAGACGACATCGTCGGCTACGTTCCATTGAACCGCCTCCCTAGGTCATTTTAGCATTTCGCACTCCGTGTGAGAAAAACATATATCGCGTTAACGTCGCCGGTGCAACGTCCCGACTCGCTGACATAACTCGCTCGAGATTACGTCGCGTTCGCGCCAACGACATCGTCAAGATCGCCCGGCAGAGTATTTACTCACAACGATGTCCCTCTCCCCATGTTTCCTCGCCGTGCTCCGGGTCCTTTCCTCGCCGGGGAATCCCCGTTAACACACGCGGATAGAGTGCGGAGAGGGAAGGGGCAAATTTTTCTTGCACGCCAGAGAGGATACCGGAGAGAGACGCAGAGTTCGAAGGGAGAGAGAGAGAGAGAGAGAAAGATAGAGAGAGGAAGAAATAGCGAGAACGAGAGATGGAAGCGTCGGCGGTAGGTAGACATACACCACGCCGCCACCACTACCACCGCTACCGCCACCACCACTACTACTACCACTACCACTAGCAACAGCACCACCACCACCACCACCACCACCACCACCACAACCACACTCGGCGTCGGCTGATGTCTGTCACGATGCAATAATTTAAGAATACTCTGAACTTGGACGAGCCGCGTATAAACGATACACGGTCCGTCGCTTGCCCCGCACGCTGCGCGTGCACTCTCGATGAATGGATGCACAGTACAACGCCGACAGCGATTCGGTCTGTAGCAACGTCACTTCGCACGCCAGCTGAAACGCCGACACTTCGCCAGCCTGACGAGCGATCGCCGGCGGTGGCCGCAGACGTGCTTGCGGGCTAGCTTACCCCTTTATTCGTTATGACGAGCGAAACGATCCGCCGAGCCGCGCGCTCAAAAATACGCCGACGAAAAGGAATAAAAAAAGAAGTGGTAATATTAAAAAAAAACCGACCAATGGAGACAGAATCGCGGAGCACGGAGAAGGGCGCGCGCGCGCGCGCGGAGGGGCAGTCGATTGTCAAGGGGATGGGCACAACGCGAAGGGACGCGAAACACCATCTTTACTCTCACCTCTCTTTCCCCACCTCGATACTTAGTCGATACGAGTGGCGCGAGACCGTCGCCGCCGCCGTATACCACCGCACCGAACCACCAAAAGAGAAAATGGCCGTGCGTGCGACTCGTCGCTGTCTCATGCATATAGTACGTCAAAGGGATCACGCGGAATGCTGCTTACCATTCGGCAACCCGCAACTCGCGTCCGCACTCGCCTGGATCGTGTTTCCTTTCACGCAGCCAACTGTCACCGGAAAAAGAATCCCCCGTTGTGTGTACGGTATACCCGTTGACACCTGTCTCTCAAGCCGGCGTCCCCATCCCACCCATCCGCCCTCTACTGTGCTAGCCTCTTAACTATTTTTTCTCTCTCCCCAGGTCTCCCGCGACTCCCGACGCGGGTGCGTCGCACCACCCCGCATCGTGCTGCGCCGCGTCTTGTCATGGCGAAAATGCCCGAATCGAGCATCGGAATTTTAACTTGAAACTCTTGCCGCCGATTTGCCCCATTACACTCCCTTTGCACTCCCCGTATTATTTCGCGCAGCAAAAAATTTGTAATTTTGGAGGCATCTCTCGTGTGCTATAGATTTAGAACAAAATCACACATCTATGTTAATTTATTTACGATCAAGAGAAAAATATATACGAATTTCGTTTAAGAAAAACAAAGACGAGGAGAATGATTTTGTATTAAATGTATGTTTTATTTTAGCTTTCTCCTCCAATATTTATGTAAGTAACAATGAAAATGACTTATGCACTATTTTAATTCTAACTACGTTAAGGATATCTATAATATTACGATAATAAAATAATAATATTTCTTGTACAGTTATACCCATTGCCTTTAATTGTGATACTTACAATAAGTTTTTTTTTTTGTATACATATATTTTTATCGAAAAACTTCTTAGGTGAATCATATATGATCGATCAATTTGGTTTAATCATAATTTTTTTTAAAGTTAGCTCTTTTTGTATCGCATGTGTAATCCGATTAAGCTCCTATTCTCTTACTACCGTCATATTAAATTACGACATTTAAAACAAGAAATTGTGTAAAGTTTTTCCATTCACTATACGTCAAAATAAATTAATTTTTTTTTTATGCAAGCACTCGAATTCAGTAGCATGTATATATCCCTAATACATACCGAAAACTCTCTTATTATCCTATATTAATAATTGCACATATAAATCAATCTAAATGTGTCTTATATTTCCCTGCAAAAATGGCAGTTGAGATTTACAGCTACTTATTAAATTCACGTATCGAGAAGAGTCCTCGGTATGTGAAAAAAGTGGACACATAATAACTAATTTACTTCTACATTACAGTGTAAGAAAGAAATTTGCATAATTTCTCGCTTTCGACGGCATACTTCAATAGGATTGCAGAAGGGAAACAGGAGCCTTAAGAATGTTAGCAAATAACATCAAATTTTTTGCCATAATCATCATTTGCGCGATACTTTTTCGATATTAAATTAAATGAACAAAAATTAGGATCGACAACTCTCTCTCTCTCTTATTGGACCACGACGATCAATCATCGCAGAGATGTTGGTTTCAGAACAATGTGCATATCACGTAAATGCATTTCGGTATGTACTCTAATTTTTTTTCTTCTAATTTTTCCTGAAAAAGCATTTAAACGCGACACTTTCTTCTCGTCTAATTGTATTGTGATCTTATCATTTCGTACTTCGAACATGGACTTCAGTAACCATTGTTTCGCGTCTTTGAACGCAACGTATGCAATGATATAAATTGTAGAAAAATTTAAGCATGCTTCCGTTGATGTACTTCTACAAGATAAAAATTAAACTTAATGATTCACCGGCGAACTCCTTCATGTGACTGTGTCACGACGTCACGATTGTGTTGTACAAGAGAAATAAATAAGACTCACCTCGCACTAATATTTATACGACACGTTCTTCCCCTCCCCTTTTCAGGGATGAAAAGCCGCGCTGTATTTACAACTCAGTTCCATATTGTATTTTATCATGTAATTCTTTCATTACGTATTTTATCATTATCGTCAAAGCGAATTATTTTCAGCCCAAAACTCGATTGCCTTCTCACCTCCGGCGAATCCAGTTCGCGCTTTCAAAAATATATTTTTGTATTTATATTTATCTATATATTTATATATTTATATAAACTTCTCCATTTATTTCTAACTTGCGTCATGGAACTGGATCAGCGACAAATACATCATCACATCCGAGGCGGTCAATTACTGTCGCTTCTTTCCACGTACGCTACAACGTGTACGTAAGAGAGAAACTCTTACATACAATTGTCCCAGTAAAGATGAGGCGTTTCATGACGTTTGAGGAGTCCAACTTTTTAAATCTGAATCTTTTTTTTTAAATAAATAAAATTTTTTTTTTCTGAAATATTTTTAGGATATTTTTAGGATATTTTTAGGATACAAAAATATTTCGTACCTTGCACATGATTTTCATTTCACATGAAAATAATAAAAAAAATATTAAAATTTTTCAAATAGAAATATTCTTTTAAGAAATACTTTTCAGATCTTCATTTTAAAAGTAGATTTCTCAACAGAAATGCGTCATAGAAAATAAATTTATATAAACTTGCATACTCTTTTTACCTGATCGACACATTCAATCTTTACCGGGACATCTTGCACATAAGAATTGTATCGATTCAACGCGATACGCTTTACAGAATTAATTATTATAAACATGATTACGAATTTTTTCGTGTCATTATCAAAGGTGCACAAGATTTCGAATTGTAGCCGGCAGATCAGTGGGCAAAGACGTTTACTTGAAAGAAACGGAGACATTTCAAATGGAAATTGCAGAATAATTAATCAGGCAATGATGAAGACCAACGAAACTTCCTCTCGATAACATCGATCTGCTATTGAGTTGCGAAACTTAATCAGCGAGTATGCTATGTTTTGCACGATTTCTAGCCTGTTGATGATTGAAACGAAAGTACCGCCCGAGTTGATTCGGGGCGGTATGCTGTTGCTAATGCTGTTGTTGTTGTTGTTGCTGTTGTTGCTGCTGTTGTTGCTGCTGATGAAGCATAGTCATAGCTCCAGTTTCGGCGGCCGTAGGCAACACCACAGTAGATTGCTCGCTAACAGAGATCTGATGAATCTGCGCTTGAGAGCCTTGTCCGACTTGTATCTGAATTTGCTGCAACTCAGGCACCGATGATTGTTGTTGTATCTCTACTTGCTGCTGCTGTTGGTCCGCCTGTTGTTGATTTTGCGCCGAATCGTTGGTGTTGAGTGGATCCTCCTTGGCACGTTTAGCGAGATGAGACCTCGCATGTTTTCTAAGATGGTCCTTTCGATAAAACGCTTTACCACATTCGGTGCATACTTCAGTTTTCTGTCCAGAATGTATAACGAAATGTAAATTTAAGTGTTCTTTTCGCTTAAAGCCTTTCATACAAACGGAACAAATAAATGGTCTATCGGGATTATGACCTAATTTGTGCCGTTCCAAGTGTTCTTTCCGTTTAAGACCAGCGCCGCAAATATCGCATATGAACCTCCTTTCTATTTTGTGTCCAATTAAATGTTGTTCCAAACTTTCTTTCTCAGGATACGCCATATTGCATTGGGGGCAGCAAAATAAAGTCGTTCCGTCGAGGGCGGTAACGATGCTCACTTGTCCCGGTTTTGGTTTCTTCGGTTTTGGAGGTTTCTTTTTGTATTTCTTTTTCCGCTTCGGTTTTGCGCCTGCTTCTTGCTCTTCGACAACATCAGGAATGATGGCAGTCTCTCCTCCGGCGACTGTAATCTGCACGGCTTGCTCACCCGAAGCTGTGCTTCCGGAGGCGTCAAGACCATCTGCCCCGAGTGGACTAGACTCGATGGTCGCTTCTCTCTTTATAGTCTCTGCCGAAAATTTGAGGAAATGTTGCAAACTAAGAGGCAAAGTACTGGTGGGCAGTCTGGAGAGATAATCCGCGACTGTAGATCCTGGAGCAGCCAGACTCTGCCAACTCGGGGGCAATGAAGTGATGAACTCTTCCCCGCTTTGATTGCCTTGACTCTTCACGCTGCCTCGCTTAATAAGCGCCACTGGCGTCGTGCCCTCCTTCACATCCTCCTTAGATTCCTCTATGCTTTCTCGCAGAATCAAATCTTGAGGAATCTGAGCCACTACAGTCAGACCCTCAGGTGCTCCCGGAAGCTGTACAGTCTGCTGAATGGTTTGTTGTGATGTAGTAGTCACAGCAGTGGATGTGCTTTGCGTCGTTTGATCCGATCTATAATCAAGTATTGAAAAATCGAGTTGGAAAAATAACTTTTTTTTTTTTTACTTTACATGCAAGTAGCATATCCATAAAACATGAAATATAGAACACGTAGTGGTTTAAATGACAGGAAATAGAACGCTTACGTTTGTGTAGTTGCTACGGTGTTTTGTGGTTGAACCTGGATTTGTACTCCATCCGCGCCCTGCTGGCTGTAGGCAACGGTAAGAACTGTAGCTGCTCCTTGCGGAAACTGACTCAGCGAAATCGGAGCCAAGTGATACTTGGGCTGATCACCGCTGTTTCCACTTTGAGATACGCTAGGATTGATCACTTGTATCTGAACAGTTTGTTGTTGTTGCGTGCCATCTTTTCCCGGTACGGTGACAGGCAGGGTGATGATCTGCTGCTGTTGATTATTGCCACCCTGAGCTACGGCAAAACCATTCGGATCCACTGGCCTCAGGTAATGGACTCCACCCTCACCACCGGACAAAACTCCAACCACTTGACCTCCAGTAGTGAGATTCTGTGCGAATTTAGCCGTGGCGAACTGATGCACGGTACCCGTTGGTAGGGAACCGGTGAATCCGGGAAAAGGTGTAAAATTCATTTTCCCAGTTGACTACACCTGCAAGAAGAAAAAATCAATTTTTGCTTCAGCTGTTAGTTGATTCGTAAAAATTAACATAACATTTTTGCAATAATCTTGTATACGATATTGCGATTTTAAAACAATATTTTCAAGACAACGCAAAATATTATTCCTTATTGTGAACAGGAGTGAATTTATTTAAAATCTTTCATACCATAGACGAATTTATGTACAACTGTGAAATTATGTAATTAGTTATAAATTTAAATGCAACATTTTTAGCAGAAATACAATGTGCAAAAATTTAAAACTTTTAAATTAACTTATATTTATTGACGTTTGAAAGACACAAACTAAGTTTTCAGTATTTGACTTTGCTATTTTCTTAAAACATTTATTCTCCAAAGAATCTCATTCTTTTTTTCCTTCTTTTCCTTCACAGTTTTCAAGAAATGATACATTATTTGTGTGACACACGTAAACTCGCAACAAAATTCGCAGGTAGCGGCATTACAAGTAATTAAGACAGATAAGACAAGATCAAGATTGTCTTGATCTACGCACATAGCGCGAAAGTTTGGCCTTTATCCCAACAAATCCACTCAACCTAACCCCCCAACCCGACTACGACCTCCCCCCTTCCTCCACCACGTGTTTTTCATAAAGGTAACAAAATCGAAATCCCGCATAGTTTTAGCAATCGCCAGCGGGCAAACAGTGTGCTCTTGATTCTGGAACCTTGGTGATGTCGTTCCGTAACACGAGGGTGGGGTGAGGGCTCCCCCACTTCACCCCCTCCCCCTACCTAAAAGGGATCCGGGAGCAGGGAGGATAGTCATCAAAGTGGCCCAGGATCCCACCCCACTCCATATAGCGGCGAGCGATGGTGTGCCCCTACGGGTGCTGTAAGGGGTAGGAGCATGACGAGGGATAGGGGAGGGGGGAAGAGCGAGGTCCATAGGTGGGAACCTTCCGCAAAATAGAGCTCGAGACTACGCTCCCCTTTCTCCAGCGCGCCGCTACCTCGACGTGGCCCCCGTGCAACACCGCGATAGTACGGGACGAGAAAGAAGGCGTACCGCCGAGGGTAGGGGAAAGGAGTCAAGAAAGAAGGGAGTCGGAATCTCCGGCACACCGGGGCCATTCCTCGGGGAAGGGGAACACGAAAACGTCTGGGGCGAAGGCACCCGTAGCCGGGCAGACCAGGTGGACACCGCACGCGCCAGACTTATTGGGATAATGATGGACTATGATAACGAGACGGCCGAGTGACAAGCGGGCGATCCCCGCCCCGCGGAACCAGGATCGATGCGCGGAGAAAGAGAGAGGTTAAGATACCCGTGCACGCGGGTGCCTCCTCCGAGGGCCCCAAGGGTTCTCCTAGTTTCGCTCGTACGAGAAGCCTCGATAGAGAGCCGATGGGTATATTATCGGTTACGCGCCGCGCGCGCGCTACGCTGCACTCGATTCACCGTCAGTACCGTGTGACGTGTTTTTCGTCGTACGCGGAATGGCGTGCGCGACTGAACGGTCGCCGCGTACGCCGCGTCGCTTGTGCCGCTCGTGCTCAGACGCTCCCGCAAGACGCGCATGTCGTAATGGCGCACCGGATTCTCCTGAGGTTAACCGTAGTGCCGAATCCGTCCTCCTCCCGCCGTCGTATCTCTCGCTTGTGCGCACACTCACCTTCTCTCTTCCGCTCAAACGTGCGCAATACTATTTCTGCGAGGAGATATCCACGGATTTTTTTACGCGATCCATCATGCGCCGTCCGTTTCCATGTCGCTGCACGTGGGGGGCGCTGCACGCCGAGCGGATCGACGACTGTGTGCAACAGTCTTGTATTACTCCACACTTCTAATATCCCAACGAATTTTTATCATACGCAACTTCATTGTTCTCGAAAAAGCTTGGAAACGCGCGTAAACGAATATATGAGCCATCGTCACGAGAGCAATTGGCAATAACGAGACGAGAATGAGAATTTGCTCTATCCGAGAAGCGTTATTTTTCCCAGATTCGACCAACTGCGTCAATTGCGTAAAGGCGTGTCGTTTACGTCCGCCATGATGGACAAAAATCATCCGCGTAAGAAACGCGCGAGAGAAACAGTCGTTATGCTTCTTTTTCTCTTTGCAAGTATTTTCCCTTCTTTGCTCTTCTCCCGCTCTTACGCGCTGCAAAACCCCTTTTAAGATACGCGAAAGTAGTACTCTCCTTCTCTTCTCGCTCGTCCTCCGCGTGTCATTTCCTCGCCGCGTCAGCAGCGTGCCTGATGGGACCGAGAGGACGGAAGTAGGAAAAAAATCGACGGCTCGCGGTAAAAGACGCATCAGCTGACGGAGAGCAGGGCAGAGGCGAAACGCGACGGAGGCACACCACGGGACAGGGCTGTTGTTTACACCCCCACCTCGATGGGTTAGAGGCAGCGAGATACCACGGAGGGGCCTCCGAGACCTCGACGAACACCCACCACCACGCAATTTCCAACCCCACCAGCCTCTCAACCACTGTCCGCACCTCCAACCACCCCACCAAAGCCAGCCCGAGCCAAGCCGTGAGCCACGACGAGGGCCCCGCGACGATTTTAGTGTCTTGGGGTGGGTGCCTCTCTGTGGCCACCGTTTCGCGGTTTCTCGCGGCATAGGTTTCCGTCGTCGGGAGTGAAGAACGCGCACGATACGCACGGCAGTATCCGTCGACCGGAATATCCGTTCGCTTTGCGAGTGCAATCGGGCCAGGAAAATAAGGATAGAGAGATCGAAAGGGAGGAAGAGCGGGAGGGAGAAAAGGAGCATATGTCGTTATATATAAAAATGCATATACATCGATACATATATTACCACGCACCGCGCGCACATACATACCACACATACACAGCACACATACACACCATCCAACGCAGATGGTGGAGAAGATTGCGAGAGCAAAAAGTTCAACTAAATAACCAAGTGTAACACGAACAATAGCTATTCCTCATCAATGGCTATGTCCTACTTACCGTAAGTACAGGCAGGTGGATAAAGCAAGCAGCCACGAATCTCTCCGCGCGCACTCAGCTCGACGTTACCGCTGCTACTGGTCGCTGCCTTCGTTCTCTCCGCACTCCGTCGCTTAGTACGGGAATCGTCCGTCTGGCTGACTCGCCTGCGTCGTCGTTCCCAATCCTCAGCGCGGCGGCAACGACTTTCTCATTTCTACATGCACGCGACGCTGACTGACGTATCGCTGTCGCTGGGTCTCCGCGCACACGTCATACGCGGTATCACGTAGAAACCAACGTCATACAGATCGCGCGCGCATATATCTCTAACGGAAGCTCCAAGAGAATCTGAGAGTGACTTCGCGATAAATTCGCGCTCGCACACTGCTGCTCTTTCTGTCTCTCCTTCCGTCCCTATTTCGATCTCTTTCTCGCGCGCGCGACGAGTTCTCGTCCAACGGAGACGCGCACACTTCGTTTCCGGGTTTACGAGCTAGCCGACCGACCACGAACGAATATGGCTCGGTCTTCCTCGGTCGGTAGGTAGGTAAAGCGCGAGTATCCTGCTTCAGCCGGCCAACGGGATATGAATTCGAGCTAACGGTACATAGCCCGTGCAAAGATACTACGGCCGACCACCAGTGATTGACTCGCCGAAAGCACGAGCACCGCGCTCTCGTCTGGAAAGTTCGACAGAATCGGCGCTAGCGTGCTCCGTTTCTCCACGCGCGACGCTTGGATGGACGACACACTCTTGCCCCTCACCCCTTTATCACTTACTCTCTCACTCTCTCACCACACATACATGCATACACACACAGTTTTCATCATATCCAAGCGAGCGACCAGTTAGCGTCGCTGACGCATCCTCGCCGGGACGGTGCTCTCGGACGTGAAAACGTGCTACGTATGCCGTTATTAATATTTCATCGGTTAAAATAATAATTATGGCGGCGGTTACTCGCGGCAGAGTATATATCGGCGGTGAGAGACAGCGCGATGCGAACGTGGCGCGTGCGCGTATCTGCCGATTAAAACGGAATCCTGCAGGATGATACTGCGGATCCTTATTCACGGATACAGCGCGCACCCCGCGTGATTTTCGCGCCGAATTATTTTGCACGATCTAAACACCTGTCTGTCACTCCCTTCCTAGGCGCTCTGTTATGCTTACACGACTACAGAACCATTTCGACTTACACGCACCTAGCGGACATTACTGCGAGGTTAAGTCGAGAATCGACCATCGATCGTTCCGCCATCTTTCTTTAGCCGAATACGCGCGCTTTCGCGAAATTTTATTCACAGTTGATTTTTAGTCAAATCTATTTTGTATAAAAAATATGAAGAAATTCTTACGATATAAATTATTTACTAAATTTAATTTTACGATTTATCAAAATTTTGATTTTGGATTAATATTAAAAAAAAAGATAAATTATTGTATAAAATTAAAATATAAATTATTACATAAAAACTTGAGTTTTGTTTGAAAACTTATTTTATAATTATAATAAATAAAAATTTACTTGTACAATGTTTACAAAAATACAGATTGTTTTAAAGTTTTATTAATTATCATTTGCATCTCTCTGTTATCCCAACATTTTATACAAGTATCACAAAATTCCCTTTAATTCCATCTTGTACGTGCTAATACAATGCATATTTAATAGAAATGTAATGTAATACAAACTGTAATAAGAAATAACAATATAATTTAAATAAAGGAATGATCAACTGTATTTTTTACAATGTTATGTAATTCATAGTCTCATTTATATAGAAATTTTATACACCATTAAAAAATGCTTAATTATCTAGACGAACATTATTGGATTGTGTTTGCATTGCTATCTCTTACAAAAATTTTATCTATTATATTATTCACCAATAGTATTTTATTATTTGCATAGTTAATAATAAGAAAAATTAAACGCTGTTAAAATAGATCATATAGAAGTATAGAGAAAGAAGCGAAACTTTAAGAGGAAGCTTTGTAGTTAGAACAGAATGGATAATGTGTACATTTATCAATACAGATTTGACTCCTCTGCATACGCTCCATATATAAGGAAAAGAGCAACTTATTGCTCTCATAATAAAATGGATTTTCCGTTGCATCTAAATCTGGTCTGTAATCAATGGTGAAATTACTTTGGCTGGAACCACAATTATCTCGAGGAGATGAGTTCTGAGACACCTCTGAGCAGCTCGGAGACGATATAAAATGTCCACTTTCCCAATCCGTCTCCATGCTCTCCACTGCACTTTCCACCATGCTCTCTCGCAGGCCGCAAGATAAACCATTAATATGAAGATTGTTAATTCGTTTACTTAATGGCATAAATTCACTTGATTCCTCTTCAACATTGCGATGTCTTTTCCTAAACAATTTATAATCGAAAAAAATAATAATTAGGTCACCAGATACAAATTAGAACTGTATTTTATACATAACAATGTTCATATATTTAAATTTATAAAAGTACTTATATATTTGCAATGATACGTATAATTGTGAAAATGCTGTCATCTTAGAAACGTGTAAACAAAAACTAACCTGTCCGTTCGCGTCATGCTTATGTCACTGCTTTGATCTCCTTCAATAGAGATATTTTTTTTACCCATACATATTACACACCAGCAATTCCTGTCGATGTTACAGTATTTATTTATGTTCCACTGTAAAATATAAGACGACAACTTTAATAAAATGGCCTTCGGTCTTTGAGTCCAATAAAGAACAAAAGTTAAAACGGTTGAAATGACACAAGCCAAAAAACTGATCTCTCCGAAAAATTCAGTGTCAAATTTACTTAAACACATAACTGATTATTAACATTGTGCAAATAGTTGCTTATGTGTAATGAACAGAGGGCGTATATAGCATCTTTTCAAACAATTTCTTTCAACAGTGTGCGAACCATGTACGAACAGACTACATTTTTTGCACATGCACATCCAATAAAACGTCTAATTTGAGTAAAAATAAAATGTCATTTAAAATTCTCCACTAACCTATACATACCAAACGTCAATACCTTCCACCTCCAGTTCAGGATATTTCGGATTAAATTACTGAATGCTACACATATCAGATGTGTATAAACCTAACCTAACCTAACCTAACATAAACCTACATAACTAAAAAGATAGAAAGCTAACTTTATCTGTTTCTTTCGTATTGAAATCTGATAGTAATTATAGATGTATATAAATATTCACATGTGTCACATCACGAGAACTACGGTCTGTAGAGTTCAGTATATTGATTGTGTATCATTCAACGTGCATGCAACGTAGCAGAAAGATAGTAAATTTCAATGTATAGTTCAGTGCTGGCAACGGATATACCTAGTTAAGGTATATCCACAATCATATGTATAAAAAATGAACCAATCCACTTCCTTATTCATATGTTATGCATTTAGTTATGCACAAATTTGGATGTATCTTCAGTGTGCTTGGCCTTTCGACAAAAACTAAAATCGGAAATTGGCAATTTATAAATAAGAAAGTTGATTTGTAAGCTGACATTTAGTCTATCTACAGTGACATTTTGCTATTAGATGGAATAAAATATACACTTGTAAATAAACTATTTTTCAATTTTAAGAAGAATAACATTAAAAGTGAAAAAACCGAATGTAAGCAACATAATTTTTTAAGCTAATCAGAACTAACTAAATTACAGAAAATAAAAAGAAAAATGTACTAATTGCAGTCAACGAGAGTTTTGATTGGTTCAAAATATTTCAGTATTTTGCATTCTTCTTTTTTTATTTCAATGTAAATCCTTTCTTAAGCTATAAACTTCCGGCTTCACACATTCTCTATGCAAAAATTACAATAAATTTAATCATAATTTTTAAATAAATTTATTTTAATAAATATTATATTTTATAATCATATAAGGAACTTGACTCATCTAACAGTATTCTTCCTCCGGATATTTTTTTTTATCAATGTGAAACTACTAGCGCAATCTTACAACTCATGTTGTAGGTTGCAGGTAAGAATATTAATCGACTGTAGCTAATAAAACTTTCTCTCATATCGCAGTCATCGCTCCTCTCATTTATCCTTACAACTGCAAATTATAACACTCCAAAATATTCGCGATTCTATATTCAATCAAACAATATTAACTTTATTGTTCTATTATTAACAAAAGTTCGAAATAAAAAATAAATTTGTGTTTATTAAAATCGCACTTTTCTGTGAATTTAAATTCAATTAATTATAATATAAATGACATGATCAAACAGAGTGCAATCTTTTCTAATTTAAAATGATTTTAACAACGATGTAGCATTTTGATAAAAATGCTCTTCATTATTTCATGATATTTCTATAAGTTTTGATCAAAGAAGAAATTCACACGGAAATGCTGACATATATTCGCATATGGAGAGATATTTGAACGCGTTCTGTATTTGGCAGGATAACACTGGATAATGCCGCGTGCAGTTACGCGACGAAGGAAATCTAAGGTCTGCAACTGTACATAATATTTCCTATGTTCATATATTTGAAACCAAGTTGCACGCGTATACTAAGCATATATAACAACGATAGATATCTTTCCATTCAGCAAAATTAAGAAAGCGCAAAGTAATGGAATCTTAAAATGATATAAATATGAATAGCAAAAGATCACAAAATATATCTGCTTGTACCAAAGATTGTATATCTGAAATATAGAGTATCCAACAATTTACTTCAATGCGAGAGATTTTCTGCTAAAACACAGACCTTCTGTTTGTTCAGATTATTAGATGAAGCGTTGCGAATCATAAATTTTGACCGCTATAATTCGAATGGTGTTTGATATTGTCCGATAAGGCTAATTATCGCTTAATAAGTAAGCATGCTGAACGAAAGAGCACGGATAATAGCACGAATGTAGTCACAGAAAAATTCCATTGAGATTTTATCGTGAAGGATACTGACATCCGGAGGGTATTACCTCGGTATAGCATCCTGCCGCAGAAAGAGAAAAATCCTGGCCTTATCCCGGACTTGAAACCATCAATGATATCACGAGAATCTTTTCTTCATTTCTTCATCGGGAATCTTTTTGTCATTAAACCACAAGAAAGAATTTTCAAAATTCCTCTTACACACAATATGTAATCTGAATTTCATTAGTCAAGTCGAATGTATTTTAGTTTCACGAAATATTGCAACGTACTTTATAGCTAGACTATGTCACAAATCACAAATAAGCGATTAATTAAGATTGTATTAAGATTTTTAGATACTGCTGCTTACACTGATGATCGCTAATTTATAATCTGTCCCTGCGAAAAGAAATTTAGAAGCATGTTATAAAACTGTTATTTGCACGTGCAGGTAAAATTCAAGTCGCTGAACAAATTTTGCAACGTGTTGCATTCTTTCGCTGCCTGATATCCGGCCGCCTATTTAGATTTGCTAAACGTCTCATTATAAAAATTTGTAGAAGTGTAACATTTTAAGATTATATGACAAAAATTGTCTTTTAAATTTTTTTCAAAAACAATTAAAAACCAAAGTCAATATTATCAAGTTGATTAAAAAATCATCTCTTTTTAAGGAAATTTAAAGATAAGTTTTATGTATAAAATTGAATTTTTTAAACATTTATGTAAGCTATCTATATAAAAATTTTATTAAAACTTTTCATTGAAAAAGAAACCAAAAGAATTTTGCTTCATAGAATACAATACAAAAAGTTCCAAGATTTCTCAGTCTTGTTATATTAATAAATGAAAAAAGAATTTCCCAATAAATATTTATTTATTATTATTCTTATTAAATAGATTAATCAAACCGTAAAAAAAGATTTATGTTTAACTCTTCGGATTTCTTATTCACGATTTATTTTTGGAATAACTCAGAGCAAAAATGGAAATGCTCGCATTCACGCGACATGCTACATGTTCATGTATAGCGAAACGTGCGCCTTGCGTACGGTGGCCTTGATTTCTGTAGCCGTGAAAATACCTCACCGTCGCCTTGGGTCAATTAAACCAAGCCACCAAGTCAGTGACTTTGATGGCGTGGCCAATTTCTCCTTGACGATTAGCAATGTGAGAAACGAAGTAAGTTCCACGCGTTTCGCCTATTATTTAGCACTGTGAAAGAGCTAATTAATGTGATATGCAGAATATAAATTATTGCTTCACTTTTTATAAAGCAGAAATTGTAACTAAGCATTGTCGTTTCTTACGTATCGGTAAACTGTAAAATACGGTTTATCAATAACGTTGCTTCGGAATTTCAAATCAGTTTACGATGCACACGTAATTTTGTTTCGAAATAATGACTAATTCCGAGCCTCCCTGCTATGGAAAAACATAGGGATAATCCTTTTAAAGCTGGACAACTGATTAAGTTAGATTGAGTCATTTATATAAACTCTGATAGCTCTGAATCAAGGTTAGCCCACTTTGTACATTATTTTCGATATGTGACAGCGCCGTAGAGCTGCTCCACGAGTTTCCGTATGGGGGTTCGTCGCGGTACACCTTCACCCTCCCTCACTTTGGGCGTGGTACCCACTACAGACGTCTCTCATCGATTTCTCCAAACACCATAAAATATGAGACAAGACGCCATCTAAAGTCTACATTGTTCGACCGAAAAATCATAATTATGCAACTATTTATAATAATGACCGATTACTTTTCTCAATCGGGAATTCAATCGGCAATAACGGCGGTGACATTGGAATACTTACGCATTGCCTTACATCATCATTTTGCATTCCTGCCGAGATGCTTGTATATATAACGGGTAGACAGGTGTCACGACGGAAGCAGGTTTTCTTCTGGGTCGATTCCCTTCCACCTCCTCCCCGTGGCCTCCTTCGACGTTATCCAAACCGTAGCAATCCGCTTTTTCGTACCTCCGAGAAAGTAACCGTTCGTCGAGAGATCGTTGAAGAGATATCATTATTACGTGTCGAACTTGTATTTAGAGTAAGCTAGATGCAGCTAGAGATTTGGTTGAATTATTTGTGTGACGTTTTACATAAACAAATCGTAAAGTAAAGCAATCAAAAAATCGAGCAAATCATAAAATGTGTTTTATAGAGTCCATCCTCACCGGCCGAATATCATTGAAAATTTCGAGATTGAAGTTTTCTCCCCTTGGCATCGAACATATGCACATGGTATTAACAGCGCCTTACTTCCAGTTAAGCATTTTCAGGTCAAACGCATCGTGAACATTCACGTATAATAACTGTTGAAAAATGTAGAATTATTAAAATAAAAGAATGTCTTTTATAATATAGTATATATGTAAAAATATTAAATCAAATTTTTGTTACATACATTTTTGTTTGATACACATATAGTTCAATGGTGGAACCGTGACCGCGTTTCGAAATCCTTGGCTTTTCGCATGCGTTCCGTTGATCATAGCCTCTGAAAAGAGAGTCAAGAACATAAATAGCAGATAATATATACGAACGGTTGTCTACCGGTTCTAGACGAGCCGAGTAGGCAAGGTCGGCTCACAAGAAACCAACGTCATCCGAAATCTCTTTCAAGCTCGTCGACTTGCATGCTATCGTGTGATTATGATATCAAACTCAAGATAACGATTTAGATCGGAAAACAAGCAGTATATGATTATATGAAGAAGCCTTTCAATAAAAAACAAACGGTAGCTCTCGCGAGATTGCTAGAATATATATAATTGCTGTAAAATATAAATTATGATATCGAAATTAATGTAATTCTCTTTTGTACTCTTAAAAGTTTAATTATTCAGTTATTCTAATTACAGTTATTTTAATTATATAAACAAAATTTTAATTAAAAGTTAAAAATATGATAAAAAAGAGGAGATATTAAGTGAATCACAAAAATTCCTCTGAGACATCCTTCAATTAAACAGTCAATATTGGTTGCATGTTTTATCACAAATTTTTAAAAAGAAAAAAAAAAGAATAGCTACATTATTTGGCAAATTTTTTAATCTAATTAACTAATAAAAAAACACGTCAAATATACAGTTAACCGATATCATTATCTTTCTCGCCGACTCTCGTCGATTAATTTAATAATTCGAAATTAGAAAGAGAGAGAGGAAGAGAGACGGATGTAACGTTCCACTTGCATGACGCGATGCGACACAGGGATACGCACCGCGACATTGGGGCTGGCAATGACTAATCCATGTAGATGTGTCATGTTGCAAAGACGAAAGGACATATTTTTCAATCGATAGTGATCAATTCTTCCTTATAAAGAACGTGTATACAAATATCTGTCTTCCAATAAAAATTAGTAAAAATTTAATCTGCTTATTAAAAAAATCTTTTTTTTGCATAGGCAAGCTAGAACAAGAATCATCTAGATAATTTATGTAACTCTACGATTAAGAAGACGATTGGAATGATATAATTTGCAAAAATATCCAATTTCTATTTTATGCGAAACAAGTCAGCACTAAATAAAGCAATCGAGTAGTATTATCACAATGAGATTCTTCGTATAGCACGCACCAGACGATAGCGTCAGCCGAGTGTACGACAGTACTGTTACGATGATATCGGATAGAGTTGTCCAAGAATCACGTTAACAGCTTATGTTTCATTACTGTTTTGCATTATGCGCACGAAAAATTTATGTTTTTCAATCACTAAATATTTAATAATATAAACACTTTGCTGTATTTATGTAACGCTTTCTTTTGTATAAAATTCTTCCGAAAAAGGTACATATAAGAACGAATACCTTGAATTTTATATCGCCGCATTTTATATGGATTTTGGTAGCATTATGAGACAGCGATGACGTAGCCACATGCAATATCAGTACCAGCATTAATATATCTACCACGAATTCTTCATTGGGAAACTAAATGTAAAGCCTTTATTCTCCTCGTCACTTTACTTAAATTCCTGCAAATCTTAAGTGCATTGTGAATCATAAAATAAGCGGTAATCCAAAATTGATGTCAAATCTAAATGAATTCTTTGCAAATAATCATACTTCGTTTATTCATACGGAATGATGTGTCTCCAACATGAGTCGTTTTACTCACGATAATTTACACAGAAACGCACGTTGCATTCGCTGAAGAGAACGTCCGGTGACTCGACGCGATAGCACAACTTCGGGGCCTGTGAGTCTCCAAAGACCTTGACGCAAGACCATATTTGGTGAACAAGGTTGAGGCATCTCAGGTCATTGGGTCTTTAGAACGCGTAAACGTAATAAGGACTAATAAGTTTATTTGAAAACACGCTTATTATAAGATTAGACGAGACACATTAATATATTGCGCGTTACGTCAACGAAAGATTGCAACCAAAGTCAATAAAATCAACACATAGTAATTACTTCGATCGCACGTGACACGAAACCGCTACGTCTAAATAACCTCAACACAATCGATCGCTTGTAATGATCGAAACGTGCGTTCATTATGGATGAATCATCGACAACGTGCGCGCGCACGCGTGCATATGAAATGTACGAGAAACCTGACGATCTCGTGATGTATCAATGAAATCACTGATCAATCGCAAAACGTTTTGTCTCAATAACAAATTTTCGACTTCATATCTGCATTTGTTTCTTCATGCACCCATTATGGCCGGTCACGTGCTCACCGCGCGACCACGAGACAGTTTCGAGAAGGAGCGTATCGATTTTGAAGCGGGCCTGTCTCCCACGTAACCAGTCGGGAGCACGTCGCACCGGTTAGATATATGTATTCGTATTACCGACACATAAATTATCGTAGGGCATGTATAACGTGACAAAAGTGCAATGCACCCTTGCATTCTGCCCTTGAATCTATTTTTATCATAATTATGCCGCATTTTTATGAAAAAAGATGAAACGCCGTGCATATCTCGCAATAATTTATTAATGTATTCTTTTCAACTTTGAATCTAAATTTCAAGTTTAAAATTGGCTCGTTAAAATCTAATAGGAAAAATAAATTATTTATTAATCTTTATCATCTATTTCTTTATCGTTATATAAGGCTTTCAATTTTATACAGCACGGATATGCAGTGCAACGCTAATAATGTTCGTTATAATATAATCAAATGTTATAAAAGATTTGAGAACTATATTTAAGAAATTGTTAAATTCTAGAAAATCATTTGATAAAGTACGACTATTACTGATAAAAGGGACAAGATAAGATAATTGTATTTGAATAGGCTCTCACGAATAAACGAATTGATTGAATAATCTATTCGAATTTTGAAATTTTCAAAAAACTGCAGGACTTCTGAATCCCATTGCTGATTCGTATGGGCAACGTATATGAGTTCACACTTACGCAGGCAGTCGCGACGGTTAGTCCGACGAGCCTTTACACTAGCATATACTTCCAAGAGACATTACACTCTCTATCGTACGATTTGAAGCGGCATTTGGAGAATCTAGCCGCCAGCCGGCCGGCGGACCAATCGCCGTGTCGCTTTCGTTTTATGCCCATATATGGCAAGAGCTGTGAATCCGCCACGGTGGGAGAAGCCGGGTGGACGAGTCTATTCTCGCGGCGAGGGGTATCCTATAGATCGGTAAAACATGTACATTCAAGATTAATGATTCGACAATGAGCGAAACAGTATGGAATTACTTTTTTTTAAACGCAAAAAATTCCAGATCCCTTTTTACGTAACTGCGAGCCTCAAGTTTCCGAAAACGGATTTACAGGGACGAGTCTCACGGGGCGGTTCGTAAAAATCTTGAACGCCGTATGCCGACCACACCTCCGGACGAGTCCAGTGCGACGTGACGTGACGTGAGGCGGCGCGATACCGGCTCACGGTTGTCCGACCACGATCTCGCTCACAGCGTTCGCAGTGCTACACCGTGCTCGTACCTTCGTACTGCTGGTCAAATTGATTAGCTACATTTCGCTCACATTCCGATCGAAGATCGATTGCAAACGGCGTTTCAGCTGCCTATTAGGAAAGCGGTGAGTAACAACCTGAAAGCATGTACCGGCCGCGTTAGCGACGCATGTCACGTTGTTGCATTTTCTTCGGACGCTTATAAAATCGGCTCGTAAAAAATTTCCTAGCGCCGATGGTCGCCATAGCAGGGCGTTGCTCCAAACGTGTAACGAAAGCACGATACCGCTTGTTCCCTTCTTTCTCGGATTTTGACGAAAACGCGACGCCTTCGCGTCCAACGTCAGGGCAGTCGACAGGTTGCCAACGTTAAGTGGTCGAAGATGTATAAACCGGGCGGCGAGACAGGTGGTCGTGGCACGCTGCCACGACTCGGATTTTATTAATAGCAACGGATGTGTAGTCTGTTACTAACCTACGATGTTTACGACGGGCATGCGTTCACACCTGTTTCTCTCGGCAATAACGCGTGATATTGCTTTCGGCCGAACTCTATCGCGGAGAAAACGCGCCTGGGAGAAATGTATCGAATCGCTGAGAATTCTGTTCTGGATGACCGTGTCTTCCATCGCGGATAGAAGCTTCTTGCGCGAAGTGTGAACAAGTTTAGACGAAACATACATGTGTATCGACTCTTAAACATTCGCTCTCGCGAAAAGAGGTTCACGATCTTACCATCAATTCGATTGTGCGACCCACCAGAGTTCGATAGTCAATTTGGTGAATGCATTTATATCAGGTGTCGTGGGATCCAACCGGCATGTCGTCGCGCCGCGTTGCGCTCAATCGCGTAGCGGGGAGAGTGGAAAGGGCGGACGGGGTAACGGCGGAAAACCCCTCCGTGTCAGAGTACTTCCATATATGGTAAAGAAAGCCAGGATTGGTCGGGAACACCCCACCCTTATTGGTTAAACGCGGAGAAGCGGGGGTCGAAGGAATAATGCGTCTGTTCATATAATACATCGCGCAGCGATCGTCGGCTACACTCTGTGTTCGGTGCTAGAACGTGTCGGTTGTCGCGGCCGGTGTTGCTGCTTAGGAACTTGTATATAACTTCCCTTTTTTACTTGAAACGTAAGTTGACACGTAAAGTGACACTAATTATTTCTAGAGTTAGTCGATAATGGGAAAGGAGCGGTAGGAAAGTAAGGAAAGTGTGCTTCGACGAATAATATACCGGTTTACTCTAGTGCGGACGATAAAGTGGTGGGTGTGTTGGGTGGTGCATATCAGCACCGAGAGTGCTTTACCACGAAGATCTCATTTTCACGGATATAACGATTAAATCATTCGCTGCGTATCCGGCAAAGTCGCCGCTGAAGAGCCAGGGATGTATCGATATACGTCATTCGTGATTCCGTTATCCGCGACGGTTTGTTCGGCGCATGTAAAACGATATCGGCGTAAAAATAGCGAGATCTCGTTGCAAAATTTCAAAGACAGGCGTGAGATACAGGCCATGTTCGCCGTATCTCCGCGACAGCTCATCGGCTACAAAAGGGTGGGGCGGGGCAGGGCAGGGTGCGGTTCCGATAATTAGCGATAACGTTGCTCTCGTGTCCGCTTGGTATCTTCGTTGAGTCACTTTCCGATTTTTCTCGGTATAATCTAGACAAATATATCAATTATACTCCGCTCATGTCACAAATATTTTCGTGATTGAGTCATTTGACTCTCATGATACGTACTTGTACGTTACATGCTCTCGACGCCATCTTAAACTGTATTTCGAAAGTGGCAGAGTTAGCGAACGTATCAATAAATATGTCATTAGCCGGTTATCGGCGATCGTCCTGCAAATGAGTTTCTATTAAATGATATTAAAAGATTATATAAATTAGTTATAAATTACTATTCTTACTTAAATATTACACAATTTACGAAAAAATAATGGAAGAAAGAAAAATATATGTAATTTCGCTATTTTGTTAATCTATTGATAATTTTTAAAAACCAGATTTTTTACAACTTTCTTAGCTGTAGAAATTTTAAATCAAACCAAAATGAGAGTTTAAGTCTGTGATTGGTTTGGAGAAAAAAAATGAAAAAAATCTTGCTTCCTAAATTAATAAGAGAGAATGAGAATGATATATTCTCTTGTTACAAATAACAATTCTAATTATATTTTTTTTTCAACAGTTGAATCAAGAAAGCAAACATGTGTGACGAAGAAGTTGCTGCACTCGTAGTTGACAATGGATCCGGCATGTGCAAGGCTGGTTTTGCCGGAGACGACGCTCCCCGCGCCGTTTTCCCGTCAATCGTCGGTAGGCCGAGACACCAGGGTGTCATGGTCGGTATGGGACAGAAAGATTCTTACGTTGGTGATGAGGCCCAGTCGAAGAGAGGTATCCTTACATTGAAATATCCGATTGAGCACGGTATCGTTACCAACTGGGACGATATGGAAAAGATCTGGCATCACACGTTCTACAACGAACTGCGAGTGGCTCCTGAGGAACACCCAGTCCTTCTTACCGAAGCTCCTCTGAATCCTAAAGCGAATCGCGAAAAGATGACGCAAATCATGTTCGAGACATTCAACACCCCGGCCATGTACGTAGCAATCCAAGCCGTATTGTCGCTATATGCTTCCGGTCGTACTACTGGTATCGTATTGGATTCTGGTGATGGCGTATCCCATACCGTACCGATCTACGAAGGATACGCTCTGCCACACGCTATTCTCCGTCTGGATTTGGCCGGCCGTGACTTGACCGACTATCTCATGAAGATCCTTACTGAGAGAGGATACTCCTTCACCACTACGGCCGAACGAGAAATTGTGCGTGACATCAAGGAGAAGCTTTGCTACGTCGCATTGGACTTTGAGCAGGAAATGGCCACGGCGGCCTCCTCCTCCAGCCTGGAGAAGAGCTACGAGCTTCCCGACGGTCAAGTCATCACTATCGGCAATGAACGATTCCGTTGCCCCGAGGCTCTTTTCCAGCCTTCATTCCTGGGCATGGAAGCTTGCGGCATTCACGAGACCACGTACAACTCGATTATGAAGTGCGACGTTGATATCCGTAAGGACCTGTACGCAAACACTGTTCTGTCCGGCGGTACCACCATGTACCCCGGCATAGCCGACAGAATGCAGAAGGAGATCACTGCCCTAGCCCCATCTACCATGAAGATCAAGATTATCGCCCCGCCTGAGAGGAAATACTCCGTATGGATCGGTGGATCAATTCTCGCATCGCTCTCTACCTTCCAACAAATGTGGATTTCGAAGCAAGAGTATGACGAATCTGGACCCTCCATTGTCCACAGGAAGTGCTTCTAAACGCGCTCTCGATCGCATATTATCATTCCCCAATCCCCTGAGACTTCGAGAGATAGGTAGATAGAGAGAGAAGAGAGAAGAGAGAGAGAGAGAGAGGCTTCTGTCTCGTTTCGCAGGCGGACGTAACATCAACTTCCGCGACAATTGCCCTTTTGATTTCTCTAGGGCAAAGGTAGCTTCTTTCAATTCGGATGTACGTGTTTAAGATACGCAAGATTTATAAGCGTGTCCGGTTAAATAAGGGGAGAAAGGAGCTTTACGGTATATCGCCCTCCTCTTGCGATTGTTCCTCGGTCTCGGCGGCAACCCACAAGTAAATCGGCGATTCGTTCTTGCTCGTTTTAAAATTATTTTTTCATCGATTTTTGAATATAAACGATCTTAAACATGTGCCCCGATTCCCGAATACCTTTTTTTACCCTATATCAAGACCTTTGTATTATATATTCGAGTAATTCATGTTTACGGTAGTATTTAGCCGTACATTTTCGCGAGACATCCTTCTCTCGACGCGAACGGAACGCTTCCTTTCCGTTAGACTTGCTCCCTCCCATACTTGTATGCTTCGATTGCCATTCTTTTTCTTTGAGGAATTTGAGCAAGAAACATTCACAAAGATTCAACTCTAAGATTTCCTGTCAGAGGAAAAAAAAATAAATCGTCGACTATTCCCGCGGGAAGAGACGTTGGAGTTCCGGACATATGGCAATCAACGTCTAATTAATGCATTCCGATCAATGTGTGGTATTTTTAAGAGATTCTTGCGTCAAAACTGGGCACAACGTTGTACGTCATTCCGCGCAGAGAGAGATAAGCCTCTGACTTCTTGTTTATTTTTTTATTACCATTTGCCTATTGTTGAGGGAAAAATGGCCTTTTTTGTCTTCTTTCTTTCTTTCTTTTTGTACATGATGGGGTGAACCGCTGATCTGGTAAAGTCCTACGAACGCGCTCGCTCAAACAAGTGAATATAAAAAGAAGAAAGACCACTACGGTTTCGACCCCACAAGCATAGCCAAAGTATTATAATTTATTCCCATTGTATTGCGCAAGACCATTCGTACACATCTTAAAGACTACTTTAGACTTATGGGATTATAAAATAAAAATCTGAAAAAAAGAATGTAATCGTCTATAATTTGTTGAAATCGCATCCTCTTATTGCTCTTCAGTACTCTCATTCCTTTATAAACTGTAGATGCATACCTAATATAATTAATTCTTTTGTATTTTTATTATAAGAGTGTCGAACATGTGTTATAAATTTTTTTAAAATAATTTATAATTCGGCGACATTCAACATTGATATAGCTGGATACAATTATTTTAAGACTTAAATTTATATCTGGATAAAAACAAATTTTTGTACAGTTTTTTAATATCAAACACTTCACGAGACAATTCTTATACACAAAAGAATTTTATTTCAAAGAAATTATAATTCAAGTACATTAAATGCATTAGAAATTATATAAATTAATTTGTATACACAAGATGCTTTCAAAAATTATTGAAAGTTTCTTTAAAGATAAATTCTTTGACAAAGTTAATTTTTTTCTTCGCTATTTTTAATACTTTACTACTTACAATAAATGTAACTATGTAATGTAATTTTCAATTTTTTATCCTGAAAAGAAGACAATTTTAAATAGAGAAAAAGAAACAAATGAATTAATTAAGAATAAAAAGTTAATTTAGGAATTTTAGAATAAATTTTTCATATTTATACATATAAATCTTTTTAATATTTTCTATGCTTGAAGTAAAATTTGGCGAGAAAGAAACAAATGTAAAAAATTAAAAAGATTAAATAAAAGAATAGTTTATAATTGAAATAATTAAATTAAAGAGTAATATAATGCACAAAACAAGGTAATCTAATCGAAACTTGTCGTTTTCTAATCCACTTGGTATTTATATTTAAATGCTGCACGGTTCTTCCTAAAAATTGGGATAATTTAAGTAAAATAATATCGATATGTAATAATTTGTTAATCGATTATTGTTGATCATTCATGCGAAAATAACAAGAAATTAAAACTTATTATTGTCAGTGGATTTGCGATATTGCATATTAATGTTATTTCTTTATTCTTCCACGGCATGTATGCTGACAGGGCATTATTTTCACAATGAAAAATCGATGACAGAGCTGAATTGAAATCTGCAGTTCAAAAATTAAAAATTCAGCACAAATCACTGCTGCTCTCTCATTAATGTCTAATTGATTCGATGAGCGATCTTTGCGCTCAGATACTTATCCGATGTCACGATCGTGTTATCATCAATGGAAAAGTACGCGACGTTTAGGTCGGTGATCATTCGGTGTGACTGTGCGACTGTCACCGAGACGTCACATATGTGACGGCAAATCGAAACGCATCATCCATTTTCTGAGATATATTTGCCCAATTTAGCGCTGACTCGTCCCGAAATGCCTGAGCAGAATGTTGGCGATCAGTATTCCACATGGGTGAGAAAATAAATGAACTAATTCGAATTCTGTTCTTATTGTCATATGGCACATAACCTCCTTTAAGAATCATAAACAAAAGACTTGTTGAAATTTTTCTCAGTAGTTCAATAATTCGGACAAGTTCAATTGTTAGTTTATTCAAACTGTTCTTAAATTTAATTATTCAAATAAGAAATGTGTAATAAATAATTTGAAGAATCAAATTAGAGGCATTTCACTTAGAGAAAAAAACAAAGTTGTGCTCTTACTAAAAATGTATATTTTATTATATTAGGTTGGGCTCGTGTACATTTTCAATCTCATCGTTGGAACGGGCGCTCTGACTCTACCTGCTGTATTCAGTCGAGCAGGATGGGCGCTGGGATTAAGTGTAATTTTAGTGTTAGCATTCATCAGGTACGTAAGAAGAATTTACTTCTTTTGATTTAAAATATTCATAAAAAGTTAGATTCAAGCTTTATGTTGAATTGAAATCAGACGAAGCTAGTTATGAGAATCAGTGTAGGATAAGAAAATTATTCTTAAGCTACTACAAATTTAAATAAATTGATTTTATACAGCAGACAAGCAGTTTCTTATGTTTCTTATTCATACACGTATACTATTTTTTTAAATTTGCTTTACTAAAAATTATTTTTTGATAAAAGTTTGTTTTATCTCACTGAAATTTTCTTTGTACAGTTTTATCACCGTTACATTTGTCATAGAAACGATGGCATCCGCCAATGCTATAGTTACATGGAAACATATTCAGCATCGAAAACGCGTAAGCTCTTTTAAATTTACTTTCGGCAAGGGTGAATAAAGAATAAGTGTGCGTATTTGAACTAAAATATATATTTTTATTCACAGGTCTTGCAAACAATAGGTGAATCTGGTTCTTCCAATTCTGATTCAGAAGATACTCCATTGGTAGCTCCCACTTCTACTAGCCCAGATCGTTCAGATATGACTTATAGGTATTACGTGATACATGACAAAATAGAGATGGGCCAGATGGCATCCATCTTTTTTAGCAAATTTGGCACTACTCTGTTCTATTTATGTTTTGCTGTATATTTGTATGGAGATTTAAGTATTTATGGCGCAGCAGTTGCAAAGTCATTAGCGGATGTTGCCTGTACTTATCTGCCAAACAATCTTACGTGCAATGACACCATACCAGATACTGAATTTTGCTGGGAAGGTTCTGCACTAAATCGATTTGATGCATACAGAATATTTTTGGTATGTCAGATTTGGAGATTTTAATGTAAGATCAATAATTTTTGCTAAAACTGACCTTTAGAAATCAGGAAGTTTCACTTTTCTTCTTAGGATATTATTCTGACATATTTATAGAAGTTCTAAGTAGAAAACTGAAAAAATTATAAAAAAGCTTGGGCAGTTTCTAAAGGTTAAAGTATGAAAACGATAGCAATGATAATAACTGTGCTACTTTTACTTTCAGACAATATTTGTACTGTCATTGGGACCGTTTGTATTTTTTAACGTGCAGAAGACTAAATATCTTCAGCTATTGACTTCACTGATGCGATGGCTCGCATTTATCATAATGATTGTTTACGCTTTGAAGAAAATTATTATGTACGGCCCTCGAGGTGATCCACCAGTTGCGAATATAGCCGGTAAGTTAAAAAAAATTGTGATATTTATTCACGATCTTTCATTAAACACTATTAGACATATAATCGCGACATCGGTGTTTCAGGGATTCCTAGTCTTTTTGGTGCTTGCGTTTATTCCTTTATGTGTCATCACTCGTTACCTGCTCTGGTTGCACCGATAGCGAATAAATCTATGATAAGTCGATTTCTCGCTCTCGATTACGCGCTAATAGCAATTTTTTATCTGCTATTGGCTGTAACAGGTATTTTTGCTTTTGAGCGTTTGGACGATCTTTACACTCTGGACTTTGGACCACACGGCTCGGGTGATTGTTCCAAGAGTGATAATATTTTTATGGTCTTTATAGAGTATTTCTTGGCACTCTTCCCAGTGTTTACTTTGAGTACCAGTTTTCCCATTATAGCGATCACCCTCCGAAATAATTTGCAGTCGCTCTTTTTGAACGAAGACGTATCCTATAATCTATGTCTTCGGAAACTCGTCTTCCCTGTCTTGGCTGTAATACCACCATTTCTGGTCGCAATGTTCACCAAAGATCTGTCGATATTAGTCGGCATCACAGGTTCGTACGCTGGGGCAGGGATTCAGTACTTAATACCCACGTTTCTGGTGTATTACGCCAGGAAAAAAACCAACAAAATCATCGGCCTCGGCGTCATTAACAAATTCGCGAGTCCTTTTTCCAGTAGATATTGGCTGATTTTTGTCGTAGTGTGGGCGATTGCTTGTATGATTTTAGTATCAGTCAATTTTATCCAAATACATGTACAATCTTCCTGGTTTAATCAATAACAATGAAAATCATTTCTGTCGTATAATTATGTCATAGAGAATCAAAAGAGAGGAAGATAGAGCTTTGCCGTAAGCTGTATTGTGAAAAAATGCAGATGATGAATATTTACGAAAGTTGATCGCGTATCTTGATTGATACACATTCGCAATGTATCCACAGTAGAAATATCATGTTGCAAAATTATCGAAACAACAATCAATTGATATTGTATTGCATTGAGTGGATGCAGGTGATTGGAAGTGATTAGAAATGGTAGAGAGGAATTATTTCAGAGTGATTGGCACGATGTATAATATGACTGATTATTCGATCTGTGAGATTCTTAGCATAGGGTACTAATTTAAGACTATCGTCATTCGTGGCAGCGTATGCTCACATGTATCTATGACGAACCGACAATACTTTGGCACGAGTCGGCATGTACAAGTTAAATACCAGATAAGCGTAACATAGGGATGTGTCCACAAAAAAAAAAAGAATTTGCCCGTCTCTCTTACTTTTGCAGGATTGTCCCGTGATAGAGAAATGCATGATTTTGTTGTTATAAGAAATTCTAAAAAAGCTATAATGTTGTATTTTTATATTTTTTTAAAAAGTAAGATTGTTCCATATTCGTGTATTTATAATAAAGTAATAATATTAGCATTAGGCGATGTAGTAACAGAAATAGCAAAAGTATAATATTACGTTCTTTTTTGAGATCATATTTTTGTATATGTGTAAAACTGCCAAAAACAGAGATTATTCGCAACATGTCCGTCATACCAGTGTACCTGCGCGAGTGTAGCGTACAATGAAGAATGTTATAAACATTATATATATATATATACAGGGTGATTCAAAATAACCTGATGT